GTGAGTTCAGATTATTCATGTTGTCAAGCGTGTTCTGTTGTTGTTCTTGTTCTGCTCTGCTTTTTCAGCGTACAGAGACTAATCATCTGTCCTCTTGCTGGGTCAGATGCCCTGTGCGTCTCTGCCCAACTGGAGATCTTCCAGTTTCTATTTCCGGCTCTCATTCAGCAAAAGTAAAAGAAAAGACGTTAAAAAGTTTCATAAATTAAAATATAAAAATCGTTTCGCTTCTATCTAGCTGTAAGTTTGATTCGTTATAAGGTGGTGGTATTATTATTAGTAAAAATATAATAGTTTAAATCATATTAGTTAAAAAGTTTATAACGAGTACCAACTCGCTTGTAATGATATCTCACTTGTTAGCAACGTTATCTAATAATTATAATTATAAACATAGTGTAAATAAGGTTTAATGCTAGGCGGTATTAAGTAATAGCAAGTAATTAATTAAAGTACGGTATAAATAAGGCATTCCGGTAAAGCGTAAAATAAAGATACTTTAAATGTATTATATAATTCAATCATTTTAATCAGAATATTGCTAAAAATAAATGTTAAATAGCATCAAATAGAAAGTATGTGGGAACAGGCTTGAATAATCAATCATAATACTCGAGTATGGCGTCAAGGTCATGATGTTGCTGATGGTTGAATTGTAAAGTCTAGCTGGACCTGCAGGTCTGGCTAAGTGACCTCACAATCTGGTATCTAATATCTTATCTAATCATACATGTGGGTTCTGTATGGATGGTTTGACTGTAGAATCACATGGATCCAACAAAGTAAACATTAAAAAGGTATAAGTCTTTGTGAAAACTTTTTAAAAATATATAAAGCTTTTAACAAATATTAATATAAGCGCTATTTTTAATACAAATATAAATTTTAAGCTAATTACAAAAAGTAAAGAATGTACGTCTAGTTATACGTATATTCTTTCAAAATTATATATTATCAACATAAAATAAAAAACGCTCGGTAATAGCTATACTTTTGTTAAAAAATCGGGTTTATTATCATTACTATCTAAAAATGTTGATATAAGCTTAATACTATAGCGTTAACAAGGGTTTATAATCTTTACAACGATAATAAAAGTCCTTGTCATGAGACAGATACAAGCACAGGACGAAGACGCCTATCAATCACTCGTGTTATACAAAAATACTCTGGTAAGGAAAGGGAAGAAGGATCTGTCACACCAAACAATTCTGGTAGGGTGATAGATCCTAAATCCCGACCCACAATTATCTATCTATCTGTGCAGCGGGGCAACGCGTCCACACCACCAGGCCGCATAATGGGAGCGCACATACCATAATACATGTCAAATCCATCACAGTCTTTATATTTAAAATATTTATATAATAATACAATTTTATTATAAAAGTTAAAATGATTCATTATTAAACCTTTATAAAAGTATAAAGTAGATGACAAGCGAGCACCAATTACAAGCGAACGGCAAATTTTTACCAGCCACTTAACCTTTTAATCAAGGCTCCTAATTGATCAACCAACAATAATGGCATTGCGTTATAGCGAATCAGACTTACAGCTTGCTGTCCAAGCTAAACGACGTGACCCTCGTATTACTATTAGCAAGCTTTCTAAGACATTTTATGTCACATATAATACCCTAAAGGCTACAATCGCCGGCCGACCATTATGATGCGACAGCATGTCCAATACTTTGAAACTTACAGTTTCTGGAAAGAATGCCATTTTTTCCTCCATTCTTGACCTGGATACGTGGGTATTTCTATCCTGGCACAGTTATGTTGAAGATACAGCAAATCAATTATTAACGGTATGTGGGACTGGACGTGTTGGAAAGAACTGGACAAAGAACTTCATTAAATGTACACCAGGCCTCTGGGCGCGTTTTTATCAAAGGATGGACTATTAGAGGATCTTGAACATAGATCTAGATACGTGTTGCGCGTTATTTTGCCAAGTTGCAACAGCAATCGCGAAATATGGTATACAAGACACGGACATTTATAACTTTGACAAGACTGGGTTTATGATAGGTATTATTGGGTCTGGCATGGTCATTACAAGCACCAAAAGAAGTGGCAGGCCTAGACAAGCTAAGAGACGCACAGGGCATCTGATCCACCAAGAAGACAGATGATCAATCTCTGCACACTGAAGAAGCAGAGCAAAACAATCAATAGAATCAATCAACATCCGTGTATTCAACACAGGCTCAGCAACACAACAGAGAATGGTCAACAGTAATCTCTGTTATTAATGCTAATGATTGGGTGGTCCCGCCGTTCATCATTCTACAGGGCAAAACCCACCTTGTGTCATGATATCATGACACAACATTACCACGCGATTAGAAGGTAGCCGTGTCTAATAACAGATAGACTACAAATGAGATTGGTTCGAAATGGATTCCGTATTTCAACAAGTATACCAGACCACGTATAACCGTTGGTAAACGTCTCCTCATCCTAGATGGCCATGAAAGGCATCATTCCAAGGTCTTTGAGAATTATTGTCAGAATAATAGTATCATTACCCTTTATATGCCTGCCCACTTATCACACAGGCTTCAGTCTTTAGATATCGGTTGTTTTAGCCCGCTCAAACGAGCTTATGGTCGCATAATTGAGGATCTCATCCGGCGTCATATAACCCTTGTTTCAAAAGAGGACTTTCTTACAGCGTTTTGTGAAGCACATAATGCTGCTATGACGCCAGGAAATATTCAAGCAGGTTTCAGTGCCACTAGGCTTGTTCCTTTTGACACAGAAAGAGTCATTTTAAAGCTGGATGCTGTCGCTGTTGTACAAACAATGTTACTAGACCCTAATCTGCGAGCCACTATTTGGACTTTGAAGACACCTACCACCAATAACAAAGCAGTAAACCAATTGGCTTATATCTAGAATCGAGTCAAAAACCACCAGGAAAGCTCACCTACATCAATAGTTGATACATTAAGCTCGTTTTCAAAGGCTATATACGGTCTTATACACAAAGTCACTTTGGTTAGTTTCTAGGTCTGCAAGCTAGAGGAAGCCAATCACTTATTAAGTAAATATTAAAGAGTAAAAAACAAACGTCTAATAAAAAGAGGAATACTTTCCGTTAAAGATGCAGTAGGTCTTCAGGCTACTAAGGATGGTAGTGAGCTAGTAAGACAGGAAATGGGTGACGGTAATCGTCGTCCAAAGAGGGCAGCAGCGCGTGAGTGACGGTGTGGTGTTTGCGACAACACTGGCCATAATGCGCGAACTTGTATAATAGAGATAAAAACGTCCGAAGAAGAAGAATTCAATTGACTAGATTGAATTAAATGCGTTGTGATCGAGTTATTTGACGTGTTGGTTAGAAGGTTGGTAAAAAGTTGCCGTTTGTTTGTAATTGCCGCTTGGTTGTCATCTACGTTAAGTTATAATATTATAATATAAAAATAAAAAATTTATCGGATTTTTATTGATATATTTCTCTTTAATATACAAATAAGTATATAATTACTTTGTACTGTAGAAAATATGCCGAAAAAAACTTAAACATAACAATATTTTAACGTTTATTAAAAAACGTACTTGTCACAGAATAGCAATTGACCACCACACCAATTGGCTAAGCTCTCCACAAAAGGATGTGGAATATTCAGGATGGCAACTGAATATTCTATGGTGGTAGATATACCTGACGTTCTACGGGCTCCAGGGCTCCTGTCTCATTCGGACATACCTGTACCATATTAGAACGTCACAGTACTTTAAATATAAGTACCGTAAAAAAACACTTAATCTATATCTAAAACAAAGCTTTAATTATATCATCATATTATTTCTCATTTTAATCTTATTTAACTCCAGATTTAGGCGCTATTATTTTATTTAGTCATCTTTTGCTCGGTCCTAGCGTCTTAAAGGTATATCCAGCCATTTCTTTTCAGCCAGCCGTTTCCTATCGAATAAGCTTTTAAGGATTATTCGTCCAGGACCAAGTCAAAATACGGAACCAAGTTGATATCCCTGACCTACAGGGAGGAACGACCGTAAAAGTGGGTCAAGTCACTCAGAGACCCGACGAGTATGAGGCCTTCCACTGTCTTGGCTGGAGAGCGCCTCCTGGTATATGTGAGCCCCCGCACCAATTAGATCGCTGGGCTTAACACAGGAAGAGAGATGGGTGCCGTTCCTGCACTTCGTTCTGGAACTTCTCTTCCAAAAATAGACGATGAGTTCCTCCACTCCGTTCTAGAACTTGTCTTCCAAAGTTCCTCCGCTCCGTGCTGGAACTTATCTTCCATATGAACCAGGTACAAGCAAGCTCGCACAACGCCGAGGGTGGGTGGCCAACGGATACGGCAAGGGCTAAGGTTAATTGAGAACAGGTGGCATTACCACGTGCAAACTAAACGCTGCTCCGAAGAGCGTCAGACTGCGCCGCTTCCTGAACACCGCTTCCTTTGAGGAAGCGGCTTTGCTGGCAGCGAGATGATATGCGCCCCGAGCACCATGACCACCGGTGAAAGGATTCGAGCCTAAAGGAGTATGTATACCGGATGTGCGACCGCCACCGTCCAAGGGATGCAAACATGTATCGTTTATGACGCTGCTTTGCAACGAGCCCGCCGACGGCGCTTCACTGGAAGAGGCTCAGCTGGCCTAGGAAGGGGTCATGTAACGCACCACATACGCTATAGCGCCGTGTGTTTCGTCATCGTTGCCCTTGAGGTGATCTTCGAGCCGTACTCACACACGAAGGGGAAAAGTTCTTCGCCCCATGTTACGCCATCAACGTCGCTTCTTCCGAAGAGGCCAGCGTCTACTCTTTTCCATACCATTCCCGGCTTCAAGTAACCGCTCATTACCATTATCAACTTGTGTAAAAAGACAAGCTGCCACCATTTCGACAATCTAAAAACCGTTCGAATCCAGATCACTTCAGCCCTTTCCAAGGACTCTCCGACGTCTATTCTCTGAATTAACGTTGCTGGTTTGCAGTGTGCGCATTCGACCCTCACCATGCATTTTGCGCCATTACTACTCGCGGTCCTCTGCGTCGTGCTCCCAAGTGCCGCCGATCACGATAAAGCGGCTCAGCTGGGCTTCGAGCTCGAGAGTCCAAGTGTCATTCTCACCAACTTCGATTGCAATGAAGAAGACACATTTCCTCTCAAAGGTCACGCCATCAAGGACCACGCGAAGGACGGCTGGCAACTCGGTGTTGATACAACTCCGGCCCAAGCGGGCATGCTACAGTTGGAGTATGATCTCCGTGTGCTACTAGCTAATAGCAAGCTGGGGGATACCTTGGAACAGGTCCTTAACGACATGGTAAAGTTCACTGTCCTGCACGATGCGATTCTCCAGCAGGACAACCTAATAAAATACAGTCGGACATCCAAGACAACAAGATCTTCAAAGTCAGCGAATCAAAGTGTAACCCATGGACGAAGGCATTTGGCTCCGATGACAGCGGTAGATGGTCGTTTGATGTCCAAGCTACGGGGCCAATGATGCTAGAGGGCATCCAGGACGTATTTGCAAGCACCGTAGGTTCGAAGGGAGGGGAACCCTTGCACCCTTTAGTGATTAAAGACCCAGAATGGCGTGGCGAATTCCGCTCTGTAACCAAAGACTGGTTCCAAGCCCAGTATTTCCAGCAATTACCGAATGGAGTACAATGGGTCACTCAAGATGTTTTGGGGTTCTTGTCAGCAGTTGTTTCAAACGCCAAGGCAGCGCAGAAGTTGGAGGGCCCTGCAGAGAACCAGGGCCCGAAAGTGCTGGTCGGAATCATGCCACGGACTTACTGGACGACAATTTACGAACAGGTCAAGGACAAGTTTCCCGCGAAGCTTTGGGATATTGTTAACCACCTTGCATGCTACAAGCTTAATGACGGTGGAAACCAAGTCGAGTGAGTATTCCAGCTTTACTTTTGTACTCTTGCACAAGCTCACTTTTCTCTAGGCTAGATCACAATTATTGCGATGGTACGATCAAAAAGCCACAGATAAAGGGGACGTTGGCGAAACAAGGCTGGGTCGATTCTCTCGCAGTGGAGAATAAGCAACTACTAGTCAAGGACTGGATCGAGAGCATGGAAGCGGGTACGAAGCCAGATGCGCTCACGAAATTTGACGAAGAAAACTTCGGTGGACAGATTGGCGGGTTCAAGAATCGCATGGAATACGTGCTGGATACAGCGCGAGAGGTGCCCATATGGGAGTTTAGAGCCCTGGGCTGGTACAAACAAGCGGATTTACGGAAGAAGCTGGACTCCATTGAGGAGTCGTTCATCACGCTGCACCGGAAGTATCCTGAGAAACCGTAGTTATTGGGGGAGTCCCCGGTTGTAGTAGGCCACTCAGCTGGTGCTGTTAGAGCGCCGAAGCTTGTGGTTGACGTGTAAACAGCAACTGGCATGCTGCCACTGAGGCAGCTGAGGACCGGCGTTCTCTTCAAAGAAGCGGCGTTCCAGGATCATGGAGGGGAACTGGAGGCTGGCCCTATTGCTTAGACATCTCTGGAGTTGGGTCTATTTTCATCTAGGATAAGGAAGGGCATAATGAAGAGCTTCTCGCATACTCTCACCGGACGGTTTATCGTGACCATATACCTTGCACTGCCATGATGGACTCATGTTTGAAATGACCTTCCTTTCCCTGCTTGGCAGCCCAACCTGCTACTACGGTTCCGGATGAGCCAACCCTGGACAAATCTCAAACCTTCGCCCCTCGGAATGATGTGAAGGTCCCGTTACAGCTTGCATACTCGGTTCCCTCCTGATCCTTGATAACGCTGTGAATAAGCATCTTCCGCCCTTCAATTCGCTCTAGCGAGGCCGTTGCAAAGACAACATGTGACGTAGGCAACATCTTGAGGTATTTGACATGGATGCGCGATGTGGCGGCTGGGGCCATGCCCATGGTATCAACCGGGATGATGCCCTTAGCTTTGGCCTCTCTATTGAGAAGGTAGTCCGGTAAAGCAGAGTGCTCATAGCCTCGTCCATGATTGCACAGACTATTCCATCATGTACAGAGCCATTGAAACCACGTACTCCATCCCAAAAGACGAGGGCCAGGGAAATTGAAAGAGTTATGAATGGCAGGTGGTTGTATTCAGAGGCAGGTTCGCGGAACGGATCCTCGCAGAACCCAAGTAGGTGTGGAATGCCTTGTTCGTCTTTGAGGAGTTGATTGAAGAGCGTGTCCTGTGAAATAAGGGTGCCCGCGCCTTAGTCCATGGGGGACTGACTGGTGTCCAGACGGGAAGATGGCAAGAAAGGGAGGCTAGAGGTAGCCTCAAGAATGCTGACACCATTCGAACAGAAATAATCGAGCTGGATTTCCAGGGATGGCGACGGTTGGGACTTGGTGGACATGTTGGAAGTTTGTCTCTTGGGTTACTCAGTTGAAACGTAGAGGCTTGTCGGAAAGACTGGACTAGCGATGGCTGGTGATCCTTTATTTCATGTTGGTGCCAGCTTCGCGAGGGCGCGGAAAAAGCGGTGCAAGGCAGTGGAGAAAAAGAATGCTGGCTGTTCCAGTCTTGTTTTGTGTTCGTTCGTATTATCATGCAGGTGTTATTGGCGCAGTCATTGCCTGGTGAGTACAGGCAAAATGACAAATGGCAGTCAGTCGCTTTGTCGGTGCGCGGGCCACCTTCTCGGCTCGATGCGGTAGGCCGGCAATTTGGGGAATGTTGGCTGCGGGGGCGGGTGGCGGTGACACCCCCCTTACACTGGTGAGCGAGCGAGATACATATAGGTAAATCAAGAAGGGCTCACAAGGCCTGCCCCGCCCCTCACCACTAGACCAAATATGTAGGCTCGTGTCAGTGATGCAATGGACAGGACACAATGCAATCAAGTTGTCTGCTTTCACCACACGGTATGTCCATTCTACACATTGTCCTTCTGCAGGCTATCCAGCGCCAATATGGTGAGCCTAACCCTTGTGGTTCTGTGTTACACAGTGTACCTATGTATGTCACCCTTCCCAGAACCCCCCAGAACCCCCTCATCCAGGTCTTGCTTTGGTTTGTCTGGAGTACTGGCTGGGAATTGGGATAGAGGGTTGTACTGAGACTGGGCGAGCGCCTGGGGCGCAATCGCAACGCAGAATATCAGTGAGGTAAGTAGCTAATTCAACGTTCTGGGTGGGCTCTGTAAATGCCTGTATTGTGAAAGGTCGCCTTCCCCGAGAGTTCTCAACACTATCCAGAACAATATGTGTTCCGCGGAGCCATACAATGGACTTGTCGCCACGCTTCTTCGCCGCCGGCAACGGGACACGCAAGATCATGAACCAGATCACTCTTTGCAGCCCTTCTCCCAAGGATCAGATCCTAACCGTTTCATAGCCACCGCTTTCTTGACCTCCCACTCCCACGCAGTGAGGTTGCCATCTTCTCCATCGTCACCGGCGATGCCCTTGCCTACCAGTCTTCTCATGATTGCGTTGCGTTCCGGTAGGGCCAGGTAAACCACACTGTACTTGTTGACGAACCGTTGGGCGCCCGGTGCGTGTCTTACTCTGTGCATACTGCTTCGAAGCAACCCGCCCGTCCATTGCACCATAGCGTCGCCTATGTTGACTATGAGGCACCCAGGCTCGGGACGGGCCCATAGCCAACCGCTCTCGTCGCTCTGTGACTTTTCTGGTGAAAGTATCTGCAAACCGCCGACCACATTGGCAAGCAAAGTTATTGTCCCAAAATCGGTGTGATGGACCAAAGCAGTCCTGAGATCCTCGGCTTCAGGGCTGGCAAGTGCTTTCAGAAAACGAATAACAGTGCCAGATGGCTTAAAGGGGTGTAAAGGCGTCACGCGGCAGGCAAAGTTGCTTTGCCAGAGCCGCACCGACGATAGCGGTGATATCTTGACAGTGCCTCAGGTACGTCGATCCCGCACAGGCTCTTCGTGTGCTCCGTGTCTCTGGGCAGCAGAAGGACGAAAATCATGGCCACAATGAGAGTGAAAAGCCCGTCCACAATGAACAGCCACTGCCGCACCGCAAATTTAGTCCAAGTGCACTCACGCGGTATCCCAGCACACGCTGGGAAAGAAGAAAAGGGGGAAGGCTGCGGACTCACCTGCCAGCTTGCGAGGCCTCTAAAGCCCGCGAACGTGAAACCCCCGGCAGCGACCAGGGAGCCCACGCCAGCTGCGAGGTAGTTCCCAATGTAGAGAACCGTCATCCGCATCACCATCTCGGTTCTCGTGTAGAAGCCCGACATCATGATCATGCCGCCGGGTAAATAACCGGCCTCGAACAGCCCCAGCAAGAACCGCGTGGCAAAGAAACTCGCCCGGTCGCGGATGAAGGCCTAAAAGAGAGCAACGGACCCCCAAGCGAAACTCTGGCAGGTCAGAAGGATTTGCGGACTGACGCGCGAGAGCAACAAGTTGAAAGGGATTTCGAAGATCACGATGGCGGCTAATGGCGGCTAGCTGCAGCTGGTTGCCATCGTTGACATCGTTCTTCGCTATGCCCAGGTCCTCGGTGAAGGTCGAGGTGAGGGCGTTGCTGATGTTGCCCTTGTCCATCTGCAGCGCGAACAGCCCGAGTGTTAAACAGCGTGTATTGTGGTTGATCTGGTTGATAACGTGTATTCTGATGATTCTGATTAGAGTGTTGTATCTCTGTGAAAATCCTTCTGTGGGCTAGGTGGCCCTAAAAATGCCCTATTGGCCTTGTTGCTGCACTGCCACCTCCCTGAACGCCATGGTGGCTTGTGCACCATTCAACACCCAGGCACAGCAACGGCATGAGCACGAGGTCGAGCCTTTGAAAAATCATTAGCTTGGTGGGCAAAAACCCGCAACATCAACGACGAAACTACCCACTTCAGCTTTGCACGCCGCTCTTCGGACTCGGACCAGTCTTTCGTAACCGTGACCTCGGACCTCGATCCCATCTCGACAACCGTGGGAATTCCGGCGGCGATATCCACCTCCGCTGCTGCGGTTCCGATGTGTTTTGCCATGTCGGTTAAAGCGGATGAAGAGACTTGAGCAGGATATCTTGAATCGAATGCTCGCTTGCCAACTCATGCCAGCTCAACGAGTACTTAACGTCTTCCCAGTGGGTCGTCCTCCGGCATGCACCATCTTGGTGAAGATGACGTGCTCTGAAGTGGAGCGTGCTGAGGAAGCGTGTATGCAGGTCGGCCGGGGCTGTTCCCTAACCGATGCTACCATCCGACCCCCCGAACCGGCACACCCCCCCGACCGGCACAGCCAAACCCCACAACCACCACCAAAAGTCCCCTTACTCACTTACACGGATTACAGCCCCTTTTGAGGGTATCTAAACGTTCTTTAGATGGTTAGATAGCCCTTTTCTTGGTGTTTAACGGAATATAGATTATTTAATTGCTGGGCCATCGGCATCGGCATTTAGCAGCCTCCGTGCCCCGCCCTTAAATACAAATTTGCTGTAGAATTCTCTCTGTGAGCCCCTGTCCCTCATGCACCACAGCATCCTGAAGCCAGCCACGATGCCTCCGCCCACGTATACAGAGGATGATGTGGTGGATGTCTACCTAGACGTCACAGATAATGGCATGTCCGTGAGAAAATCCAGCCAAAAATACGGCGTCCCGGCCAGCACGCTGTCAACACGCATAAGGGGGAGAGGGACTAAAACAGAAGCTCACACCACCGAGCAGAGAATTTCTCCCGAGCAAGAAAGCAAGGTAACAGCCTGGATATTGCGCCAGGAGACTTTGGGGCTTGCCCCCTCTCATTCAAGCCGTCAGGGAAATTGTGGTAACCTCCTAAAAAGAAAGGGGATTTCGCACCACTTGGGAACCACTATATGGACAGCTTTAAACGACATAACCCTACCATTTAGACTAAAATCGGCAAACGAATAGAATCTGCTCGGTTTAAGGGGTTTACCCCTAAGTCTGTGAACTGGTTCTTTAATATCTTGGAGGACTATGGCTGGGTGAAGCCAGAAAATACGTACAATGTCGATAAGGGCGGCATCATGTCGGGTTTTGGTAACTCTTTCGAGCCCCTTACCCTCACAGTCAATTAACTACCCTTATAGGCATTGATTCCCTAGTTCTGGGAAGTTCTGAGACGAGGAAAGCTTTCCTAAAGAGCCCCCAGGGCCGCTCGTGGACATCTTTCATCAAGACCATTTCAGCTACCGGTAAAGTACTCAAACCAGGCTTGATTTTCAAGGGAAAAGATCTCCAAGTGCAGTGGTTCCTCGAGGAATTCCAGAAGATAGCCGACTGGTACTATATAACGTCGGAAAATGGCTGGACCAGTAACGATATCGCCTGTCAGTGGCTTGAGCACGTTTTCATACCACAAGTGGATGAAATTCGTGGCCAGGAGCAGTGGGAACCAGTCCTTTTGATCCTAGATGGCCATGGTAACCATACCTCCGTACGTACACCAATTTTTATTTATTTATTTATTGGTTGTTTGATTTATTCCGATTTAAACAATAACTGACTGTAGAACAGGACGAATTTATGATGTGGTGTTATTTTGTTAACATCTTGTTGTGCTTTTTCCCAGCACATACCAGCCACAGAATGCAACCACTGGATAACGGCCCTTATAACGCCTTAAGTCCTACTACCAGAGATTCCTCACCCAGGTAAATTCTCTGACTGATTCTTTCCCTGTTGACAAGATCAACTTTATCCGCTATTATAGCAAGGCAAGGGACATGGCATTTACGCCAAAAAATATCCGCTCGGGCTTCTGAGTGACAGGATGCTACCCAATTAGCCGCAAAAAATGTCTAGACTATCCAGAAATCCAAGAAAATAAGCGGAAGACCCCCAAGCCGGAAGAACAGGAAGACTCAGAGCTGGAGGACCAACAGACCCCTACCACGAGCCGGCAAATCCGGGATTTCGGGAGGAACCGTTCTCCAGCCACTCGGCTGAAGTTCCGGAAGATCTCCCATGCCTTTGAGAACCAGGAGACGGAGCTGGCCATAAAAGACCAGAAGTTCAGGGCCCTGGAGGCTGAACTGGAGCGGTTACAGCCCAAGAAGAGGAAAAAGATACCAAATCCCAACAAAAAGTTCATAATAATGATAGAAATATTAGCCCAGGGTGGTGATCCATTAGTTCCGGTTGCTGTAGAGTCTTCTTTTTCTTCTTCAAAGTCAGAGGTTGTTGAAGACGAGGGTGAAAAGGACGAGGAGCTTGCGGACGCTGAGGAGGCTGTAGAAGCCCCTGTTGCAGAAGCCCAGATGACTAGATCCGGGCGGTCAATCCGGGCGCCGGCTAGATACGTCGATCGAGCAGCCAAAACACCACAGAATGATAATTTTGCTGACTTTTTTGACCCTATACAGCCTCAAATGTGTGTAAGTGAGTAGGGGGGTCTTTTGGTGGTGGTGGCGGGGTTTGGCTGTGCCGGTAGTGGGGGTGTGCCGGTTCGGGGGGTCGGATGGTAGTACGCGTATTTGTGGTTTCTTGACCATTAAGACGAGGACTACGCGTCCTCTGTGAAGGATTTTGGTGATAGTTGGAACGTTGTGTTCATGACAGGCCCTGCTAGAATATTGCAAGTTCAGGCGCAATGCCGGACACGGGCGGATTCCCTGAAGTAATCTAACTCGGAGATGTTCGTTCAGGCACATATACGTTGCAACCGCGTTCAATTTCAGCGCTATCATCCGCACAGTGGCTGGTCATATGTGGTGAGCGAGGGCCGAGGTAATCATGTCTCAAAGTGCAGCTACCGCTCTCGTCACTAGTCCCAGGGTATCTATTACAGCTTATTCTAGACGTCTGCCACCCCTGAGCCTGGATCGTGGATTGGGAGTCCAAGCTATCAAGGCTGGTCCACGCGAGACTTCTGGCGGCAGATACTTAGGTATTCAACGAACGTTCGCGGAGGCCGCAGGCAAGCAGCAGAGATATGACTCCAAAAGCAAGAGCAAGGCCTTAGAGATCATGTCAGCAAAGGGGGTTGGCGAGAACATTGCATGGTTGGCCAGCTTACCATTCGTGAAGAGCAGACTGTCGACGTAAGATTGGGTGATGCTGAAACGTAGAGCCTCTGGGAGGCTCCATACATATGCAATGCTGGATAGGGCTCCCTTGATGATCTGTTTTCGTCAGACAACGATCCGCAATACAGACGCTGGGTGGATAGAGGTATGGCGCTTACCTCGTCTTTCCTCGAATTTCCTTCCAGCGCCTGCTCCATCAGCCTGGTGACAGAGACTTCATGGACGGCATTGAACATGTTCGCCGAGACAAGGACGCCTAAGCTCTGCGACAGAAACCATGATGTGCCAGCAATGGCCATCTCCTCGGGCTCCAGGCTGGCAGCAAGATGCACAAAGGTTACCGACTGGGTGATCCCCATTCCCAAGCCACCGAGGGCGACATATAGCGCCTCTGCTAGTCCCGTATGCCCTCTCCATCGGACCAAAACCAACGTATAACAACTACAGCCAAGGCAGGCGGCAACAATAGTCAAGGCTTTGTATCGACCCGTGGCCTTGACAATATATCCGCTCAAGAGCCCGCCAACCGTGTTACCCACGACTACAAACACAATGCAGGTACCTGCCGCGCTCACAGACATTCCGGTAGCCACCTGGAAGTATATTGGTATAGTATACAAAATCTGGCAGATTTTAGCATGTCTAGAAGCCACAGATTCTTGTGACAATGGTGCTTGCAATGAATTGTGCCCCGGTCTGAAAGGCGACTATCGCGTAGGGAATGGCGACGTCTCTCTTGGCAAGGAGCTCCATCGGCAGGATCGGCTCCTCGGCTACGACTTTCTCAACGTAGTAGAAAGCGGCAGCAAGGACGAGGGCCAAGAGTGCGATTGGCAGGGTATAGTACCAAGCATACAACTTGCCTCCGCGATCGAGCGATACGAAGAGAGCTGCTAACATGCTGGGAAGCGTGATAACGCCCCAAAGGTCGACACGGGACGCCTTGGACCGCATGCTCTGCTCCCCTCCGGCACCCTCAGCACTGTCTTTTCCCGTGGATCCCGGTAGCTTCCAGAGAACAAGAGCGACGGCGAGAGCAGCATAAGGACACTGCCCCAGAAAGCACCTATACGCATCAGTGATCAATCAGCCGTTAGATTGCCCTCGACCCGAGTACGCAAGAGATCCTCGGTGCAACACTTACCATCTCCACCCAATCGTGTCGACCAGCCAGCCTCCGATGGGACCTCCGCAAGACCGACCCAAGGTGGCTATCACGTTGACATACGACCTCCAGGTGGCTATCTCGCGCACGGGCAAGATATCTGAACGCAGTCAGGCTTGCGAAGCGCTAAGCCGGACTTGGGACCTTACCAGCGATGATGACGGCAACCAATGCAATCATTCCAGCGCCACCGACACCACTTATTGCTTGTCCGAGCAGGACTTTCCAGTAGGCGTTGCCGATTCCACTGGCCACAGGTCAGGTCTACCACGACGACCCGTCTCTTGCCCGTGTATGACTTGCCAAAGAGCGCACCCCAGCGTGAAGACTGAGTAGGCGAAAACCAAGACAACCTTCCGTCCAAAGATGTCACTCAGCTTGCCATACTGTCATACCAGAGCCCCCGAATTAGCAAGAACGGGCCGCAGCGCGTGGATGACGTACCAATGCCTGTGTAGCGCATTGCGCCAGGACGTAGGAGGTTATCAGCCACGACGCATCCGACAGCGCGTGGAAACTCGAGGCGATCTCCTTGCTGCTCGCGAGCACGATGGAGGAGTCGACCTGGGCTATGAAGGCGCCTATTCCATGGTCAGTGAGCGTGTTTCGCGACCTCCACGCGTGTGTTGCTCACCGATGAGAAGCGTAGGCAGGGGGTTTGCTGGTGCCGAACTGTTGAGACTCAATGACAATATTGTATTTTGCTGGCTGAAGGTTCCGAACCACAAAGGCCTGGGCGTTCGTCAAGAAAGAGCCGTGATCGGGGCTTTGCCGCAAGCATACGCAAGCTGAGTCCAAGTAATAACATGATGCCTTGGTAGGGACCATACGTATGCACTATCCTTGCGCATTCCCACAACAAGGTATCCTCACCAGTGTGGACTATCCTGTGGTTGATGGGGCGAAACTCCACTTCTCCATTGCGTTATCATCAATCATGATGGTCTCATCGAACAAGTGGACTAAGTCGGGGCAATAGGACTCGATATGCAGAGAAAGACATCAGTGATGTGAGTGATGAGAGAGAAGCAAAGCAGCTGAAGGAGAACCGGCAAATCTCGCAAACCTTGATAATTCTTGGATCTCGCGAATGTCAGCTGCGGTCTTCCTCCGAGCCAGCAACGCCAAGCAGTACCGCGGTCCCTCGCATCAAGGCTGCCGCTTCGGGTCCCTATTACGATGAGGGTAGCTCATGCCTTGGCGATACTGGCGGCATGTCTGGCCACACAGGCAAAACGACCCAACATCCTCTTCATCCTGACCGATGACCAGGACTGGCATATGGAAAGCGTTGAGCACATGCAATCACTAAAGGTGCGGTTGCTTTCGAACCTAGCATGCAGATGAATCTACCTGACCTTAGCTAATACATCGTCGCAGTCGGATATTGTCAATAAGGGGGCGTCTTTCGATAGGCATTTCTGCACGGTGGCCTTGTGTTGCCCATCCCGTGCTACCCTCTGCACGGGAAGAGCAGCTCACAACCACAATGTCACGAAGGTTAGCCCACCTCATGGGGGCTATCCCAAGGTTGTTGATAGAGGTATTAATGAGTGAGTGGTATCTCCGTTAGCCAATGATCCTTCGATCATGTCCTGTTCCACGCGAGTCTTGGCTCTGTCAGCGTGCATCTATACGCTCGGATACGCAAGCTGAACGACCCATGAGGGCTGAAACCTGATCACTGACCGAACTTGACAGCGACTATCTGCCCATCTGGATGCAGGAGGCAGGCTACAACACGTATTACTCCGGCAAGCTGTGGAACTTCCACAACGTGAACAACTACAACTCGCCGTACGTAAAAGGGTACAACTCCTCTGACTTCCTCCTCGATCCATACACCTATCGCTACTGGGACTCCAAGATGACGCATAACGACGAAGCACGGGTCAGCTACGCGGGGAAGTACTCCACGGATGCGGTGGCTGACAAGGCCTACGCACTGCTGGATGAGGCGTTGTCGCACGAGGAGCCGTGGTTTCTGACCGTCAGCCCCATCGCGCCGCACTCAAACTGGGTCTTCGACGAGAAGACCAACACCTCGTATCTCAGCATGCCGCAGAGCGCCTACCGCCACGAGCACCTCTTCAACGACTACCAGATCCCCCGTGGCAAGAGCTTCAACTCGGCTATAGAGGGCGGCGCCAGCTGGTGGGTCAGCTGCCAGTGTTGAACGCATCCGTCATCGCTTATAACGACAACTACCAGCGTCAGAGGCTGCGTGCTCTGCAGGCGGTAGACGAGATGGTCCACGAACTCGTCGAGAAGCTGGCGGATGATGGAGAGCTGGACAACACTTATAGTTTCTACACGACTGATAACGGCTACACATCAGCCAGCACAGCATGCAACCGGGTAAGGAATGCGGCTACGGTATGTGGTATCAGACTCCAGGATAGCAGAGACGGCATACTCACATGATGGTCAGACACCGATATCCACGTCCCGTTATTCGTCCGCGGGCCCGGCGTTGCCGCGGGTGCGCAGTTCGACTCGGTGACAACGCACACCGACATCGCGCCCACGCTCCTCAGAATTGCCAACGCAGACAAGCAGCTGGACGGCGAGGTCCTGCCCCTCAGCGCGCATCACGCCTACGACTTCCGGACCGAGCACGCGGCGATAGAGTAACGGCGGGGGCATAGATGTGGGACAGCCCTAGATATGGGACGGTTTTCACACCAAAAGACCACACTTGCACCCACACGTAACTCCATCTGGATTGAGGCTCTAGATAATATAAAAACAGCAAAAGAATCGCCTTTTCTTGGAGTTTTTAGCAATATTAATTTTCGTCGCAGTACCGTGTAGGCTGGCGGATTGCACGGCGCGAAGATCGAACCACAATGGGCTCCTCATCCTCCTCATCCTCGCTTTCGTCCCCTTCATCAACAATAACCCCTTCATCCTCAACACCCTCTAAGGGCTCAAATTCTTCTGAATCTGATGATTCAGGCGAGAGAGAGTCATCAGAGAATGGTCTTTCTGATTCATTCGTGTGCAGGTTCTGTAATTCGGCCACAATTCGTCGTCTTTCGGCCCGCTGCTCGATCAAGACTCGCGCAGCCTCTGTTTGCTCGATCTGCTCCTGAATAACGTCCCCAACTCTCCATAGACGTTGATTAGGCTCTTCTTGAGGTGCCTTACGGCGCTTTTTTGGCTGTAGACGCTCCATTTTGGCGTCTTTTGCCTCTAGCAGCTCCTTTACGAGGGCTAGCTCAACCACCATCTCATGGTACGACTTTGCAACCGAGCGTACTGCTGCTCGTTGCTCAGGGGTCTCAGCAACTGGTGATAGCATCAGGGCTATGTCCTGCCCTGATTTAGGGGTTTCTAGGGCCTCGTGGGTGGTCTCGGGGTCCATTATAGCAGCTGCTACTGCTTGGATCTCCGCCGCCTTCACCACATGCTCGTTCGTCAATGTTTTTCGTCGATTTACAGGCCAAAGCCCAGCAGTACGCCACCCCAAACGCACGATAGCCGGCGTAGCTTCATCGCGAGCTTTCGCTAGGCAACTAAGGAACTTAATCTTGCCAATAGTGGCCGAATCGTTAAGCTGGCCAAGCTGATTGATCAAGCGGCGGTAGGCGGCTTTAATAACAGAGAATACTGTCAAATCCAGCGGCTGGAAGATATGAGACTATCCTTATTAACAAAATAACTACTGACTGATCATCTAACTTACCGTATGAGCTGGAAAAAAGCACATATATACGTTGTTAATGTAATAAAGATATATAAACTTATCCGAGCAGTGGCTGCCATGACCATCTAATATTAGGAGACAAGAATCAACAGGATCTTCAGGAGCTGTATCAGGGAGATATATCTGAGGCTTATTAGCACGTAATTAACGAGTAGTACTCGTTATTTACGCGCCTTTTCAAGCCACTTCAACGCGATCTCGTTTGAGGACCAGCCGTTAATGGAGTACGTCACTATCTACTCTGCCATTGCGGAATGCTCAATAATGAGCTATTCTTTAAATCACTGAGTCTGTATCGACTTCGCCTTAAAAATAACGAGCGGCTAGAGCTTCTTTTCAGTGATAGTGATCGATTTGACCACTGTAGTCCACGTGCGGTTGTCGTTAGACTTGACATTGGCCCCTTTTGAGCCAGAACTACCTATTATAAGGCCATTAGACCTATTATCGGCCCGGTCAGCCGTCCGAAAAGCACTTGGATTGGGCGCTTATGTACTGCCAGCCCTGTATAATGCCGTACTTATCGACATTTGCCCGGTTCGCGGGTTTGATGAAGGCGAACTCCTTATAGAGATCATAGAAGCCATTGATGTTCTCGGGCGTGGCGGCGTTGATACGCTTGTAGTCCAGCTTTCTGCCTATCTTGGTCTTTATCTCTGGGTGCCTGCGGATGAAATTTTGCATGTATTTGCCCCCTAAATGATCTGCCCTGCCCTCAGACTATAGGATCTTCCGGATGATGTACCTCACATTGCCGTGAGTTGGCACGTGGCCAGCCTTCTCTTGATAGAGGATCCATGATATAACCCGAGTTTCTTGCACAGGGCTTAACTTTTGGCTCCTAAGAGCCCCCTCACGGCTAGTCAGCATTGGGTGCATCGTGGTGCCGTCTACCTTCGGCGCGAGAGTTGATTTCGGTACACCCCAGCGCTGATGCGCCTTGCGGAGGGATATGCTATCGTTCACAGCGGCAATTGCCTCTGCGAGGTCTTCTGGAGTGTACGAAGGAGGCATTTCAACGTACTGAAGCCTATGATGCTGACAAAAAAAAAAGAAAAAAAGAACAACAGAACTTCTGCTACAGTGAAGGGGATAGGGGGCACGGGTCCCATTACCCCTCAGATTAGGGCCAGGAGTGCTAACTTCTGACCCCCACAGCGGCCCATCCCGCAGTGGTAAACCTGATAAAACCAGCACTGCTGAAAACAACAAGAAAAGACGATTTCAATGCAGTATTTACGATATCTAGGGCTTCATTGCCGGTAGAGATATATGTAAGTGAACATTGTGATGTTGGGTGTGAAAACTGTCCCACATCTAGGGCTGTCCCACATCTATACCCCCGCCGTTATTGGGGCTTCGTAAGTACCTAGGTCCGCCAAGCGCATCGGTCGATGTGCGAGATTGACCGTCACAATAGGGCGTTCCCGAAGGCTACTATGGATTTAGGGCAGACTAGAATTTCGAGGCGGGAATCCACTTCGGCCTCTACCCCAACAATACCTACAAGGGGCTGCGGCTCGCCGGCGACGGCTTCAGCGTCTACTACTCGGTCTGGTGCACGGGAGAACGCGAGCTATTCGACCTCCGGGTGAGAAACATCAACACCACGTTCCCCCACTTGGGCCCGCGCTGAGACGCCATTGCTAACAATTGTCCCCAGGCCGACCCCGAGCAGACGCTGAACCTCCTGTCGGAAGCAGGTGCCCATGCAGCATCCCGCTTCGCCGTGTCCGGCAGGCCCATCAGCGACGTCGTGCCCCGCCTGGACGCCCTCATGATGGTGCTCAAGGACTGCAAGGACCGGACGTGCATGCGGCCGTGGGGGGGTGCTGCACCCCGCGGGCGGCGTCGCATCGCTGCACGAGGCCCTGGGCCCCCGTCTACGACGCGTTCTACCAGGGTCAGCCGAAGATGAGCTTCGAGTGTTGCGAGACGGCGTTCATCAAGGAGAGGGAGAGCAACGAGAAGGTGCGGCCATATGCCGGGCGGGATGGGATACATGGGGGGTTGGATGACTACCATGGTAATAAATGGATACTAGCTGTCTAGGCCCACAGGGCCTCCTTCAGCCTTGAAGATAGACACCTAGTTGAAGTGCTCGTTGCCCGCCTCGGCAGATGCATGAGGTTGGCGTTGGAAAACGTGCTCGATTTGTGGAACCGCGGCACCCAAACTCAAAGCATGGAGCTCAGCAGCTGAATATCATCGTAAATGAGACATCATCATGTGAACCACATAGACATGTCTTGCTGCAGGCCATTGTTCAAGTTCCAATAGGCTTCGACGTCATTTGCAGGCTCGAGAGGAATCGAGAGGTTGTCCCAATCGTCGAAGGCTGCGTTTCCTAGAGTCGAGTCGGATATTGTGTAGACGTTGGGACCAGCCTTTTGCGCCGATGGCTCTTGCCCTTGGTTCCCACCTGCGCGGCCCAGCACCTCCCGAGCTATCGTCTGGACCTCCCATAAGTTCGTTCCTCCCTGGGGCCACACCTCGGCTAGTGCCTTAAGACATCCGATGACGAGGCGAATCTGATGCCTTGCGATGGAAAGCTTCTGACCCGAAAACAGAAACTTGGCTGCCGAAAGCAGTGGAGTCATACCAGCAGATGTCATGCATATCGTGAAAGGGGTTCGACAGGAATGCGGCACTGGCAACGCCAAGAGTCGGACTTGTGCTTGGACGGCTTTAAGGCAGCGTCTTGTGTGGATCGCCGGATAGTCTTGAGTAGGCAGACGGCTGGGAGGCGGCGCTGTACATGTCGAGATAGCCTCGAGTGGGTTGAACCATAGCTCCGAGAATGGCCGATGGAGCGCAGCTGTCGATCTAGATGTGAGTGAGCCAGGGCGACCAAGGCAAGACTAGGTAGGGCCACATTGGATAAGAGACACCGATCGCTCAGTTGACGATGGGAGTCAAGAGAAACGGCCGCCAGTGACAAGAACACGCGAAATGCTAGACTTAGACTTACGCGTAAAGTGCCATATGGGCTTGAAACATGAGCTCGTCAACTTCGCCGTTCTTGCCCAAGACCTCGCTTTTGTCCTTCGGGAGCAGTAGCAACCATCCGTCGATGATGGAGTCAACCTCTCCAATGACTTTCGGGGAAGACCACTTGGAGGTCTCGGACGGCACGGCAGACATAGCCAACGCAACGCCGCGGGCGGCAGCGATCAGATAAGCGAAAGACGAATATGCAGTGTTTTCCATCTCAAATTCCCGAGACCCAAAGTCTTCCAGCGTTTTTGGGGTCGGGATAGCCTGGACGCTTGTGTGAGCAAATCCTCTACATGCACCTTGTACAGTAGCGCATCAACAATGGCCCGGGGTTTGGTAGACCTACCCCTATCTCATACTCGTCCTCTTCGCAAGGCAAGCCAGCAGAGGCCTCTACTGCATTGCATTTCGTTTCAGCCCATTTGGGCGTCATTGCCGCAAAGTAGGCATCGACTATATAGACCTGCCACCAAGTCCGCCGCCAACTCTCCCCCAGAAGCACATCTCCATCTGCATTTTCGGCCGCAAAATGCCGATGATGCATGCCCAGCTCCAGTGCCATGCGAATGGCTTCGTCGATCTCACCGCGGGATTTGGTCTTCTCGCAAGCCCAATACAAGACAATGGCGTAGAGCAGGCGACTTTGGACCATGAAAGGGGTGGCCGGGTTCCTGCTGGCCGTGTCCATGGCTTCTGCAGCTAGATCTCTTAGCTTCGTGAATAGATCCGGGCGGGAGTATAGTGATCCAATGAATCGCATGACGGGTATCAAGGTGGCCAGCTTCTCCTGGTATCCTGTCTGCCCGTGCAACTTCTCGAGGTCTCTCCGTGGCAAGACGCAGGGATGGCACTTGTGGAAATGCTTATAATACATGTCGATAAGGGGGTCCTCGGAAATGCTCACAAACTGGGCATCGGATTCATCAACGGGGTTATGCTGCGACGGCTCGTGGTCGCTAGTTTCGGGAATAGGGGCCCAGTGGTGAACGGTCTCAAATAACAGGCCGGTATCTGGCTGGAGGCTCTCCTGACCTGCAGTTTCATGCTGGGTGACTGAATCGTGACCACCATGGCTACCTTGATTCGGCGTCTGCGGCTTGGAGCCGGTCGATTCTGAGTTATGGGTACGACGCAGTGCCAACGCCTGCCGATCTAGGCCACCTCTTCTCGACTTCATGTACTGGCACACCCTGCCTTCTTCGGCGCAGCGGGTGCATTCTGGTTGTCCGCCGTCGCATTTGATGTGTCGGCTTCGGCACGGGACACATGCGAGGGAAGCCCGAGTGACTGCGCCTCTCGTCGGCATCGTGGATTCGTGGACTTCTCGAGATGATACGCCGTGAAGGACGAAGTACCAATAGATTGGCCTGGTTTGCTGTTCTCCCTCAGTTCCGTGGTCTGTGGTGCGCAAGGAAGTAAGAAAACCCATCGGTCAGCCGGGAAACCGGGTATTCGTTCTCGGGTACCCGATGAGGTTTGAAAATTCTCCTCAGTCAGCACCCCCCGCCACTTGGCATAGGCCTTCCCTTGGCTGCGTGTAAGCACAATTTCGAGAACTTACATCCCCGCGGGCCTGATCTTTACAGGGCTATGGGATACATCCTTATTCCTACCTTGCCCACAGCTTCAACAACGCTGTGCATCGAAGTCAAGGGCCCCTGGTGATACCATAACACACAACGGACAACGGGTAGCCGGGCCACCTCACCATTGGATACGTGTCAGCAATGATCTCCCCTCGGCGACCGGTTGGATATGCGACGTCTTCGCGCTCGTTATACGCTGATTCGGCGGCCGAGCAGACCGGCTCCTGCTCCTACTATATAAGGGCCATGGACTCTTCACTCTGCGGACCATTCAAGCCCAGAACAATCAATGGACATGCTCGTCATCTCACCCAAACTCACGAAGTCTAACATCTCCCCAAAATGACACTGAGAATTGTGGTGATCGGAGCCGGGTTCGCTGGCATGTACAGCGCGCTTGCCGCTCGACGACTGATCAGCCTAAGCCTCGAGAAAGGCGTGCAGACAGCGGCAAATATCGAGGTGATCGTCATATCACCAGAACAAAGCCTGGTCCTGCGACCACGACTCTACGAGCCAGATCCGGCAAGCATGACCGCCCCCTTGGGTGATTTGTTCCGCGCCACAGGGATCCAGTTCGTCAAAGGCGTGGTCGATATCATCCATACATTGAAACGCGAGGTCGGGGTGTTAGGTGAGGCCAGTGCGCGATCTACCCTATCCTACGACCGCCTCATCTTGGCCGCTGGTGGTCGCCTGTTGCGTCCCAAAATCCCCGGACTGGACGAACATGCCTTTGCTGTCAACCAGATGGAGGACGCAGTCCAGTTGGAGACTCATCTGCAGGGCCTTGCCTCCGTTCCCCTCAGCCAGGGCTCGCAACACCGTCGTCGTCGGCGGCGCCGGCTTCACGGGCATCGAAGTCGCTGCCGAGCTCCCCTCGCGCCTGCGTGCCATACTTGGCGAGGGTACCGACATTCGCGTCATTGTGGTAGACCGAGAAAGCGAGGTCGGGCCAGAACTCGGGCCCGGCCCACGCCCTACCATCATCCAAGCGCCCAAGGAGCTCGGCGTGGAGACTAGACTCGGGACTGCCATCACCTCCATCGACGCTGGCGGCGTCGTTCTAGCCACCGGCGAGCGCATCGAGACGCTCACCGCCGTCTGGGCCGCCGGCGTGGTGGCGACAGCCCTGACTGACCAGATACTGGGCGAAAAGGACATGTTTGGCCGTCTACGCCTCGACCATGACCTCCGAGTGCCTTCAGTGAGGGACGTCTTCGTCGCAGGCGATGCCGCATGTGCCGCGACCGACAGTGAGGGCAACTACGCCATGATGTCCTGCCAGCACGCCGGGCCGCTCGGTCGCTCGGCCGGTAACAACGCCGCGGCGGACTTACTGCAGATCCCGCCGACGTCGTACCACCAGCCCTACTACGGGACGTGCCTCGACCTCGGCGCCAGCGGCGCAGTCGTCACCGAGGGTTGGGAACGCAGGGTTATCATAGGGGACGGCGCCGAGGGCAAGCGCGTCAAGCGGTTCATCAACACCGTCTTGATCTACCCGCCCAAGGCCAAGTCCGCGGTGGCGTTCGCCGCTGCGGACCCGGCTGTCAATGATGCTGGAACCGCGCCTGGCGCGCCGCCATTGAAGGGTTATGTGGGTTGCGCTGGATCTGCTGGGCGTGTGCTTTGAGTTTGCAGTTGTTGGTTAGGTAGCTTGGCCGGAAATCTCACCTCTTTTCCTATACCTGCAGAACCACAGCTCGTTTATTCCATGTTGGCACCTTGATGATAGTGGATGCTCAGTGAGTAACTTGGTGAACACCGCTTAAGATCATTAGACGATATATCACAATCTCTAGAATCCCATTGCATTGAAAGGGGTCGCGAATCTCGACGGCCGTGATCATGTGGTAAGACCCCCTGGTATATGTGCGAACTACCTCCTATCGACATGCCGCTTCTCCAATGTAGAGCTGCAGTGGACTGACCTTAAGAGAAACATTGTACTGTGGCAGGCTACCCCTAATCTCCTTGCCTCAGCTCAGTGCTGGTGTCCTGTCCAAGGAAGGAAACCCTCCAAGCAAAAACACCAAAGAAAGCCAGCCAGGCTCGCGCAGGCATGAGCGAGATGAGCTCATACATGATCCTCCCCCTTCTCGGGACCTCGTCCTCCTAAGTACCGAAGGACTCGACGACATTAACGGTGATGTCGATGTCGGTAGTTTCCGAAGAGTTGTTTGAGCCTCTCGTTCCGACGGCGCTGATCCGGAGGCGGGATTGTTTCATGTGGTCCTGCACCTCGCTTAAGATCGCTGCGATTTCAGTTACTTCCCGGTCTGCTGCCGCATTGATGGTGATTTCGGTGGAGCTATTGTTGGAAGAAGAGCTTTCTGTTCCGAGGGTGTTAATGCGAAGGGGAGATTGTTGCAGGTGGCCTTGTATTTCGGCGAAGACCGCCGCGAATGCGACGGTGTCCGCCTGTGAAGGCGGTTCTTTTCAGGCATTCTGAAGGACAGCTACGATTAGCCACGCAACAAGGTAACGACTGGGAAAATACAGGCGCAGAAAAGGTGTGGGAGAGGGCTCGGAAGAAGGCAGAAGAAGATTTCTTTAGATATTGGAAAAAACTTACATGCAGCGAGGAACAGCGGAGCAGAATGCGTTGAAAGATGACAGATGAGGATGATGTCGTGAACGGCGAAGAGGATGTAGCAAAACGAAAGATGCGGAAAGAGGTCGACGAAAAGAGGTTGGCGAAGAAAAGTCTGCGAGTCGAGGCCAGGCAGGTTTTGTAGGTAGGTTGCTCCTATGGTTGCTGCGGGCAACCAGAAAAGGGGCGGGGGCGTGCACTAAACAAGATGTCAGAAACACGTAGCAACAGCCTTCCACTGTGGTGTACTTTGCGTGCTTGGAGAACCTTGACAGAGCTCCCCTCTCGCCTCTGGGACCCTTCACCGCGATCTTGCTGTTTGCTCTGGACGGCTGAATTTGCTAGTTGCTGCGCACCTAGTGACGCTGGAAGCTTTTGATATTGGAAACACAAAGGGCTCAGGATCAGCGTTGTCTCTTCAGGGTCAAGTTTTCCGGGTGGAACTTCTGGGAAATGGCTACGCCCGACCCAGAAACAAGCATTCAGCTCGCGACACCGTGTTCTTCCACTTGCTATATTTCGCGCAAGACCCACGGGAGACTGCGCATACACAACTTGAATAAGGCAACAATGGCATGGATCTTGTGCTTCAGGGAAGCGAGCAATTTGGTACTCTATCAACATCGATGAACCGCCAAAAGCTACATGACGCCGTTCCATATACCCCCGATCCGCTTGCGCAACTGCCATATCTCAAGGCAAGAACGCCCCTATCATAAACATCCACAGCTAGCACCCAAACCATGTCCATCCTGGACACAAAGACATTGTTGGCCGTCTGATGGTGGCATACCAGCGCACCCTGAGAAGCAGCAGCGCCAGTACCCCGACTGGCAACGGTCGCAGTCGGTGTACATACTGCATGACTGGGCTCGGGCTTCCACTATACGCCATTCACTGTTAGTAGGTGCCTACATGATGATATATGCGACGGGGTGAAGGGGGCCTCACATTCGAAAACCGAGGGGCTCCCTTGGAGTTGTGTTCCCGTATTGTCCAGGTCCTCGAGGACCGGACACGCGAAGGATCCAAGACTCAAGAGTCCGAGGATGGTGAGGACTGCGGGGGCGTGCATGGTGGTCGAGCAAATGTGAGACTTTGGATTTGAAGTATTTCAGGTGGTGTTTGCTGAGGTCTCAGGTCAAAATGGGTTGATGATCTGGATTGAGTCTACACAGAGCAAAGCAACCGGGCCTTATATCGACTATGGTTTGGACTTGATTCCAAGAGAGGCTGCAAACTTCTCGCAGGATGTTGCCATTCTGTCACATTGCACAGGCTGAGAAGTTGTCTCTTAGTTACGCTACGGCAACGTTACACCATGCTCGCAATAATGCCATACATATCGCTCGATTGAAGCCAGGGATGTAAGCGGGATTCAGTGCAGCTGAGCTGCATTAGTATACCGAACGGCGACTCCACACTTGGCAAATAGGCGCAATGCCTCAGAAAGGATCATGAACCTCACTATCGTGGCTTTTGGTTTTTCTCTACGCAAGGCTCATCCAACCAGACCAAGCGAGCTGTGGCATCCCAAATCTCAACCTTCATCGGTTGTCGCCCGGCAGCTGGAGGCCAAGTCTTCCGGGCTTTGCTCATTACTGATGCCCGAGTATGTCGCTTCTTGGCCCTCTTCCGTAGGCTTGGCACATTGTAGGTAGCTATGCCTGAGAAATTCTCAATTCTCATGATCGCAAACAAAGTAACATGTTGCCGATGTCTCACAATCATTTGCAATCGCGACAATCATCCACTATCGTCTTCCCACTTCGACTCTTCCAAGACCACTGGCTATAATAAAGACTCAGGGTGTGTATATCGGATTCATCTCCGCCACATCCAGCTTCCGTCGGCGTCCTCCGGGTACGGGGACGCCATGAGTGTGTGGCTGCATTGAATCTCCTATAGCCAGCTGCTGACACATTGCACCACGCATGCGCTTAGTACGTACTCACCGCGCTTTGGCACATGTTGGCCCCGCGGATGAGGTGCCAAGTTGAGACTCGCTTCATTCAAGTTTTCTTCTCAATACCGCCAAGAACAAGGCGTTGTCACAAGTCGAGGGTCCAAGCAATGATAATTACCATCTCCGAGTGCGAGGTCGAACAGGATTTCACTACAGCCTATTAGAGGCCGCATCGAAAGTTCTCTTGCTGTCAGCCCGCTGATGTCGTACGAGAGATTCCACGTCAGTATCGCTTTCAGCTCCAACTCTATGGTATATCCCGCCTCGCCGGTGCTACCTGCCACGGGCTTGACCGCTGGCTTTGCGGCCAAGGTATGCGGGGAACTTTACTATGGTGAATCAAGCCATCGTATGAGTAGCTGTCTTTGCTCGGGGTCTGTGAGTGAGGAAATGATTGGCTGCAATTTGGCAGTCCCCGATGACATGAGCATTGGAGAATCTGTCCGACTAGACAGTCGCCGGTATGATCTCCTAGTTATACAACGATGCAACATGCACGTAGGGTCCAGACTTATGACGGGTAGTCATAAAAACTATGCCTAATTCATCTGTAAGTTCATTTGAGGGATTGAGGGTGACCAACCACGTCGATGGATTGAACATAGCAGCACCAGAGTAGGCTACTGCAAGACTTGTGATACTCGACGACACATGTTGCAATAGGAAGTCAAGAACACCGAGCTGACTATCTCTATGATGAGGAAGTGGAATATATAAAGCACCATTCCCTCCCCATGAGGATCTTTCAACCATCAGCTCCAACAGCAACAGCATCAACAACAGCATCAATATCCGCTTCAGCACCAACATCTGTAAATCTTCTCGGTCTTCTCGAATCCACCTACCTACCCCCGCAAATCTTCCACTCCATCCTCAACGAAAACATACCATTCACTATGATGTTCCAGCCCACCATCTTCTTCGCCGCCATCCTCGGCCTCGCGACCGCAGCACCCGCCCCTGCCACCGCAAGCGAGTCTACCCCCGAGCTTGTGAGCCGCGCCCCGGCCTCCGAATTCGTGAGCTGGTCCAACGGCGATTGCACTGGCACCGGAATTCGCAAGAGCATCACGGACAGTGGCTGCTACGGGCTGCCCGGCCAGAGCATCAGCATTCTCTCCCTTAGCCCCAACTGCGCTGGTAAGTTTCCTGCCGATACTACCCTTTCCCGCTTCCTTTCGTGACTAACGGACCTTCGTGTTCAGTCCGAACCTGGCAGAACGACAACTGCAGTGGTGCTTGGTCCCAGCACGTCACCCTTGGTGCTTGCTTCGACATTGGCGACAAGTTTGGCGTCTCCATTGTCTGCTAGACAACGAGCCGGACAACACCGCTAGGATTGGGTATCAATCGTGAGACGAGCTGGGAATAGATGGGTGCGCCCGAGTAGAGACGTCTACGCCCGGACTGTCCGCTCCTTACTGACTACTTTTCGTGGAGGAGGGATATTAACAGTGGATTTGAGATGCTTGTGTTTACCTAGACTTTGTGGCTAAGTAGTTTATTCTTTCCTATATCAATACATCTGAATCGACGTCAGCATGGTGTGTTTTTCTCCCATTTTCTCTAATTACCTGGCCACGATGCACGTACAGCGAGCCGTAACAGCAATACCACTACTCGTCTACGTAGCCACCGCGGTGAATCGGCTGTTGAGATAAGCAGTATGGAATGGACGGTGTGATTTCTTAACTTGGATATTCTCTAATAGTCTCAACAATAGTTATCGTGGTTTCCGAATATCGGCTTGGTCAGCACACATGCACGGGAGGTGACTGCAAAACGTTCACCCTAGAAGCCGAATAGAATTAGACTTGACGGACCTCTGGGTGACTGACTGTGTCACCTTCATCTTCCCTACATTTTCATGCACGATGCTGCACTTTACCAGAAAAAAAATTGGCTTCGTATAGCTCGAGCAACCTTGCCAACAGCCCAGGATACTCACTTCGCGAACGGTTGGTGTTGCACCCACCATGTCTGTTGACCAGGCTACGGTATTCCTTACTTCTTGCTTTTTAAAATTGTTTAAAACGGATAGGCGCTGTCCAAACATCACAATCATGCGATTATATAAGACTCGTCCCACTGCGTAACGGCTTCAGGCCCTGAGTATATAGTCCGAGAGAAGAAGACGTGCCTACCAAGCCTGCCTAGCCTCATCTCGCAGCTTTCTCAACGCTACCCACGACACTATCACACCAACCCTCGCCAAGCACGACATCATAGGATACATTAGGGGGCTAGGTGGACTTAGGTATATGGCTGTATCAGATAGCCAGGAGAAGTAAGTATAAAACTATTTAATCATATGTTGCTAGGTTGGCATAAATACTGTCTGCTTTCCCGCTGGTTTCGCACAGATATTTTTCCTGCCTCAGGCAATAAGACCTGGCGCACATGTTTGTCTTCCAATGCTCCAATTCTCAGTGGATCTCTTACATGTGCAGTTTTGTCGTCCCATATCCAATACCACACTTTTTGTCTCTCCTGTCAATTGCTGCAAGTACATCCTGATAGCCTCGCTGCGAACCATCATTACAACCTCGCTATCAACCATCATCACGACCATGCAACCAACTACATCTTTGCCAGATTTTGAAATATTCCGCTCTGCCATTTCTTCGCTACACGTAAGTTTTTTCGATGTCTGAGGAAGTTTTTCTATATGTGCAGATGTGGATAAGAGGCTATCTCACGTTATATTTTTGGGCCGGTATATTATCAGCTTATCGCTGGTTGGGGAATTTCCCTGGGATTACTGCCTCATGCAATAACACCTGGTATATAGATACAAGGTCCCGACCAAATTAATCTACGTTAATAGGGTTAGGGTTAGGGTTAGGGTTAGGGTTACTGACCCTATAATTTGATAAATAATATAATATGTTGGATCCATATGATATCACAGTCAAACCCTCTATACCGAACCCACATGTATGGTTAGATAAGAGATTAGATACCGGACTATGAGGTCACTTAGCCAGACCTTCAAGTCCAGCTAGACCTTCCAATCCAACCATCAGCAACATCATGACTTTGACCCAATACTCGAGTATCATGATTGATTGTTCAAGCCTGTCCCACCATTTATAATAAATTATTATGAATTTTATAAATTTAAACCAATAAAAATCATTAATGCTTGAATACATAATGGTTTAATTTAAATGTTATTATATATTAAAAAACTATATTAATTATTATAATATTTCGTATAAATAAGTTCAGTAACATCTTTGTGCGTTAATAAAATTGCTATTTAAATAAAATAATTAAAATATCACAATTATTTATATTATGTGGGAACAGGCTTGAACAATCAATCATAATACTCGAGTATTAGGTCAAGGTAATGATGTTGTTGATGGTTGAATTGGGAAGTCTAGCTAGACCTGCAGGTCTGGCTAAGTGACCTCACAATCCGGTATCTTATCTCTTATCTAATCATACAAGTGGGTTCTGTATGGATGGTTTGACTGTGATATCATATGGATCCAACATATTATATTATTTATCGAATTATACCTTTAAAAGTAATTAAATTATTGGTAAGTTATTATTTAGTTTAAGATAATATTGTTTGCTAATTATCGTAAAATTTTAAATTTTTATTATTATTACCATTAACGTAGGTCACAAGCGAGCGGGACACAAAAGCGAGTGGGACACTTTCATGAACCTCTTAAACTTTCAACTTCCAACCAGTATTTCTTCACCCACAACAATGGCATCGTGTTATAATAAATCAGACATCCAGCTAGCTGTCTAAACAAAAAACAAGACCCTTATATTTCTCTTTAAAAGCTTATTAAAACTTTCCACCTATCAATCTCTATACTGGCTCAAAGAATCGCCGGCCGACCATCACGGCGTGATAGCATACACAATTCTTTGAAACTTACAGTTTATGAAGAGAATGCCATTTGCTTCTTCATACTTGACCTGGATGCACGAGTATTTCTGCCTCGGTACACTTATGTTGTAGATATGACGAATCAATCGTTGTCAGTACGTGGGACTAGACGCATTAGAAAGAACTGGATAGCAAACTTCACTAAAAGTACACCAGGTCTTTGGACGCATTTTCATTGCTGGATGGACTACTCACGGGTCTTAAACAAAGATTTGGACGCGTATTACGCATGGTTTTGACAAGTTGTGGCAGTAATCGCAAAACATGGTATACAAGACGCGGATATCTACAATTTTGATAAGACTGGATTTATGATAGGTATTATTGGGTCCGGTATGGTTGTGACGGCCTGCACAGACCTTCCCATATGACAAGCGGATACTTCCTAATAGGGGAAGGATCTGACCAAAGGATCCCCTTAAAGGGGCAACCTCCCACTGTACCTATCTCTCTCTCTCTCTCTTCCTTTCCTCTCTAGTCTTGATATTCTCGTCAATAGAGTAATAGCTGCTTGCTGCAGGCCATGTCCCAGCTCCTCAGTACGCTCGCCGTGACATTCTCCCTCGCTGCAAACCACATCACAACCTCACAACCTGAGAGCATTATCCGTGAAACGACAAGTGCAGTATGAGCGTGACAGCGTTGTTGTTTTTTTCAGGAAAAGGTCTGTCGACTGTTTGTTGGTGGTAGAATACACTTAGATGCCCTGTGTGTCCCTGTACGACCCAACAGCGTGGCTGATCCTCACATACCGCTTACATATACAGATGGATACTGCTCACACAACCAACCATCTTCACGATCTTGCTACTAAACACAAGTTCGCCAGCTTCCAAAATATTCCGCCCTGCTTTTCTTCGCTGCAAGTAAGTATTTTTAATATTTGAAGAAGTTTTTCTAGGCCCTCCTCTAGGCCGTCTTCTTTCCCCTCTCCCACACCTTTCTTTGCGCCCTCCTTGGCAGCTAAAATAACCACCGCTCAGCGTGGATTTCCCCCTTCTCTTTCCGTCACCGTCCCAGAGCGCTGTCAGCTCCGAAGCTAGACCGTCGGGAACTTAGCAGAAAAATCGCGGGTATCTTGGCCGGTGGTTCCGCACACAGTGCGTCTCCTACTTTTCTTTGCCGTAACGTTCTTTTCTGCCGCAACATTTACTTTGCCGCACACTTTTCTTCGCCGTGACGTTGTCTTCCTCGTAACGTTTTCTCCGCCGAAATATTTCCTTCGCTGCAAACTTTTCTTTGCCACAAGCTTTTCTTCGCTATAGATTCTTCTTCGCCACAGGCTTTTCTTCACCGCAAGCTTTTCGTCGCCTTCTCTCTCTCTGCAGCCTTTTCTTCGCATCCTAGGTTCTCTTTGCGGCCTTCCCTTCGCCGCCGACATCATCTTTGCTTCTGAAATCATCTTTATTTGCCGACATCATCTTTGCTGCCGACACCATTTTTATCCGAAAGCTTCCAAACCATTTCGGCCCGTATTCCTTGCTACACGTAAGGTTTTTTTTTTTTTTGATATTCAAAGAAGGTTTCCTATGCCTTCTTTTTAACCATCTTCCCTTCCCTTTTTCCACACTTTTTGTGCGCCCGTAGTTATATGGCTAATCGTTACTGGCCTCTAGAATGAACGACGCCGAAGTCGCTGAGGTCAAGGCCACCGCCGCCGAGGCAGACTTCAACGATATGGCAATCGCGGCCATTCTGAACGAGATACGGAGAGACATGGAGAAGTTCCTCCTGTCGATCAACGACATTGGAACTGGAGGAAGCACCGATAGCACTTCCGAGAAGAACATCGCCAACGCAGCAGCAGCAGCAGACAAGGATGCAATCGCGGCCATTCTCAACGAGATACGGAGCCACATGGAGAAGTCCCGCCTGTCGATTAACGGTTTTGGAACTGGAAGAAGCATAAACAACACCTCCGAGAAAAACATCGCCGACGGAGCAGCAGTAGCAGACCAGACCGCAATCGAGGCCATCTTCTCCGAGATGCAGAACCGTCTGCAACAGTCCAGCCTGCGCATCAACGGCGTCGGAACGGCAGGCTCCGACATCACCGCGTTTATCGAGCCCTTTGGAGGCGAGGATGAGGTTGAGGAGAATGAGGACTTTGCTCTTGCGTTTGCGGCGTAGTCTGATGAGCCGTTTCAGCAGGTGCCTTGGGAGGAGGAGGATGCCCAACCTCATAGATGACCTTCAGGACACCAGTTGTACAGATAGACAAAATGGCCGAAAATGGCTTGTTAAAGATTCCCGGTGGCTGTGACCTGTGGTTAAGAATGTGTTTGCTGTGATGAATGAAGAAGTTACGCTAAATAAGGCACAAGGCTTGATGGATGGAAACCATGTGAAGCAGACAAGTGCCCTGAGAGTACGGTGTCACACAACGCTAGCTTAAAAGGTGAACTTCATATTTGCATCCATTCCTTGTCGCATAAGATACAGCCTATACACATGTACGATCTAGTGATCATATATATACACACCGTCGCTTTTCATCAATGCTAGATGCTGACTCGGACACGCGCCAGAGGCCAGAGCCAGCGCCAGAAGCCAGAGCCGGAGCTTTCAGACACGACCACTGTGCTGCACACTGACGAACCACCGTGAAACAACTGATCCGCCAGGCCAGAACGGAAATGTTGGCCTGGGGAAATAAATATGCACCGCCTGCGCCACTGATGCTTGGAAAAATTATGTAAACGACTAAATGCCGGAGTGCAGAGCCATATTTCCAGGACTCCACGCCATATGCCATGCCATGCAGTGCCATTGAACCTTCGAGAAAACACCAGGATTACTGGTGGGCCGTAGGGAAAGGCAGGAATCGAAGAATGGGGAACATGATCGAAGAAAAGGGTATCATCGCTCCGCGAATGCCGGAAAGGATGAAAAAGGTGAAAAGCACACCTGGTGTGCCTGGCGGTGAAAATGCGATGGGCACAGGAGGTAGTCTTGGTCGCAAGGGCAAAGGCAAGGTAGAACCAATGCCGTGGGGCTGACACGTATTGGGTCGCGTAGGGAGTTGTACAAGACCCAAGCAGGATCAACAGACTTCTCCGTGTTCCGACAAGGACGGCTTCCACGAGGTGTAAGGCTTTTGCTTGGACGTACGTTCGAGTTGAGAGAGCAGGTCGTCCAACTCGAGCCAGTTATCATCATTGTCCGCAAACTTTCGGTGCTTGTTCGAATCAATGTGCTGAGTTCTTCATTAGCATTGATAGTCGTTGAGACGTAAGCTTACGACTTACCTCGTCAAAGTCTGCGTATTTCACGGCGCAGTTCTCGCAGTAGCCAGGCTTCAGGTCACGCTTCCGCGATCTCACAGCCGCGCGCTGCTCCGACCTGCCATCTTCGGCGTTACTCTTTTCAGTCGCAACAGCCTCGTCAATAAGCTCGAGCTTGCGACTTGAAGCTCGACTTAGGGTCAATGGTCGTTTGACCGAGCCATCGTCCCTGAAACTGGCTTCGCCAGTATGGCGTGAGCTGTGGTCTCGCGAAGTAGCTGTGCTGTTCCGCTTGAGGACTTGACGTTGAAGGCCGTGGACTTCCTTGCTTAGACCAGTGACAACGCCGGGAGTCGCTGCGGTCGATGAGATCATCTGCGATCGGATGGCCGAGGTTACATTGGACGGTTGCACCCCAGACGCAACTGGTTCACCACCAAACATACGGCCACTGGCGGCACGGCTCGTGAAGGCATTGGTGCGGAACTCTGTGTGTGGGCCGAAGAGCGGCTTGGCTGGCTTTGGGCCGTCGACTGAAACCACACTCGATTGCCGGTTGTGACCCGACTCCATCTCCCCCAGTGTCCGCTTACCAGTCATAGGCTTAGGAGGCGCCATCTTGGGAGGCTGGAGAGCTGGCTTGGATTCAGCAGCAGCTTTGGCAGCCTCGGCCTTTCGTCTTGATTCTCGAGCTTCTCTAGCCTCAGAGTCTTCAACGAACGGGCACCGACCCAGGGCAGCAGTCTGAAACTGCGGCCAGTCACCCTTCGCCTTGTCCTGCACTTTGGGATACTCCCGGACCATGATCGGCTTCTGTTTCTCTTCAACGTCATACACGTATATGTATGGTCCTTTGAAGTGATGCAGCTCTCGCGCTAGCACTGTCGGGTCTCGATCAGAAGGCCCGTTCACACGTTCGTTCTGCAACAGCCGCAAGAGATTGCGGTCCTCTGTCGTTCGAGACTCGGCATGGGCTGTTTTGGAACTTCTACTCCGCGACCCGTACGCCATCTCGGCGCTGCGATATGGGTCGTTTTCGAGAAGCACTGCGAGCATACGGGACAGCTTGTCCACCGGCCATATCTTCATACCCATCTCCCGGGCACGAATCAGGATATCCATATTCCGCTTCGGCTGCTTGATAGCCTCATCTTGCGCCTTCAATTTCCGAGCCCGCAGCTCCGCATCGAAAATCCTTCTCTTGACCGACTCTTCAGAGAACCTCGTGAGCAAGGACGGGTTGATAGTCTCGGTTTGTTCCTGCTGTGGCTCTTGACCACGACGGTCACTCTTCTCGGCAGCTGTGTCCTGTTCATCCTGCTGACGTACACTCGCTTCGGTGGGAATTGATCGGGTGGTGACGACATGGGTAACTTGATTGGAGAAGAAGGCGGATTCGCGCTGTAAATTACTAGGTTAAGTCTTGTTGGCAATGACTGGGCACGTATTGTGTCAACTTACACCTCCCAGCGCAGCAATCTGCTTTGTCATCGAGTGAGCTATGTCACCTGGGACCTTGTCGAAGTAGAAGTGGAATTTCGGGAACCTTGCACGGTGGTGATCCACCCAATTCGTGATCTCCTCGATGTCCTTCTCAGTGTACTTAGTAGACGCTGACTCGGTATGCTGGTGCTGGGCGGACCGCTCCCTACCCAGCTTGGCCTCGTAATTGGTGGCATTGCGATTTCGCTGGACTGGGATTTGGCTCTTGGTAACTCGATGTTGCTGTGACGGTGACTTCAGAGAACGTTGTATGCCCCCCTCCAGTATCTGCTTCTTCGCAGGCGGGGGCTGGCCGTAGGGCTCTTCCCGTTGCAGTTGAGCCAGGGTACGCTTCTGCTTGAGGGCAGTATTGCCTCGCAACGGGGAGTTGGCGGCATTTTGGTTGGAAGATAGAGGAACTCTTCGGCCAGTTATACCAGACATGGCGGAGAGATCAATGGGTCTGGGCGATAGAGATACTGCTGCCATATGAATAACCTATTACCATGCTATATTCGCCGTGTCTTGTGGGGTCGGAGCCGTGCGGAAATCCAATGTGGAGGTCCCGTGTTGTTTTTTGGCTGCCGGCGAATGAAACGTTCGTCAGATCAGCACAGACATACAAGTCAGTTAAGACCAATAGTCTGTTGTCGGCCGTGTTTGGTCGACGGTCTGGTTGTTGGAGGGGTTCTTGGAAGGCTCTTCGAGTGTGGACTGGCACGCGATGAACCGTGACACGGCAGGCGGATTTGCTGGGTACGACACGGGCGGATGGCGAACGTCAGGGGGACATTGAGACGAAATCAAAGAGAACAGAGGCTTCCACGAGAATCAACGGCTCAATTGACGCGAGAAACAAGCCGGAAACCGACGTGTTGGGTGCGTGGACGGCGAGGCAATGGGGAGAGCAGCTCTGGCGGATGGTAGTGATGGTGGGCAGAGAATTGGAAGCGTGACAGGATCGATGCGTGACCCGCTAGCACTAACAATTAACAAACACATCAACAATAATATTAAAGCACGGGCCTCTACAGCGTCTCCCAGCCTCCCAACCCCGCTACGGCGGCCCCACCACGAGTTCAGCACAGCAACCGTCCAGCGCCTTACCGTTCTGGACCTCAGCCCCTCCACGGCTGGCCCGAACCGGTAAGGCCCCTGGAGCTGGAACCCGGAAATGCTCCGAAGCTTTGGCGAGTGATGCGCCTCAAACCTACACCTTCCAACGTCCATTCGATGATACCTAAGAATATGAAGCTCCGTCAGTTGCCGTTGCGGCAGCTCGAGCGGCATCTCGAACGACAAGCCCGCCCATCTTGTCCATACAGTACGCGGCGCCTACCACCGCAAACATCTCTTCGAGTACCCTGCCGAACTCAATCCCCGAGCTCGCCAATATGCGGCTCAAGGCGGACCTACGCGACGGCCGTCTCCGCCTCGCAACTCCTCTTCGGCCAACCCGTCCACGAGACACACCCTCACCTCCTTAAGCCCGCCGAGCTTACGCAGGGCATTACAGCCCAAGAATACCACCAACGACGCGCGAACCTCTGCCACTCTCTACCAAAAGATTCCGCCGTCATCTTGCCCTCCGCAACCCTCAAATACCGATCAGGTGCCGTCTTCCACGGCTTCCGCCAAGAGTCCAACTTCCTCTACCTGACCGGCTTCTCCGAACCCGATTCCTTCGCTGTACTGAAGAAAACCGGTGATTACCCCGACGACTACGTCTTCCACCTCTACTGCCGGCCGAAAGACCCCAAAGCGGAGCAATGGAACGGACCATGGAGTGGTGTCGATGCTGCCCGGGATGTGTGGAACGCCGATGTCGCAGGGGATATCCACCGACTGGACGCTCTACTACCTGACGCGCTCAGGGGCGTGAAGAAAGTATTTACAGATGCCGAGCTGACCAAGTACGGCGCGCCGACGAAATTCGGCAACCTCCTACGGTCAGCCGCGCCCAACGTTGCCACCTCGCCACTAAAACCACATATCAACGTCCTCCGCGCTGTGAAGTCGTGCGCCGAGACCGCCAACATGCGCCGCGCGGGGCAGGAGTCAGGACGCGCATTGACTGAAGCCATGCGCCGGCCATGGTCGTCGGAGAAACAGCTGGCCGCCTTTTTGGAAAATCAATACCATATTTCCGGCCTCGACGGGCAAGCCTACGTACCCGTAGTAGCAGGGGGGCAGAAAGCATTGCTCATCCACTATGTGCTCAACAACGGGATGTTGAACGAATCCGAGTTTGTGCTGGTCGACGCGGGTGGCGAGTACGGCACCTATATCACTGATATCACGCGCACATGGCCCGTCTCGGGCAAATTCTCGCAGCCGCAGAAGGATTTGTACAATGCGGTGCTCCGCGCGCAACGGTCGTCCATCTCGCTCTGTTGCGCCAGCGCCAATGTCACTCTGGACAAGCTGCACAGCATTACCGAGACGGCACTGCGCGAGCAGCTACAGCAGCTTGGCTTCGACCTCAGCGGCAACGGGATGGATGTCCTGTTCCCGCACCACGTGGGCCACTATATTGGGTTGGACGTGCACGATGTTCCTGGTTATCCCAGGAACGTGGTACTGAAGGAGGGCCATTGCATTACCATCGAGCCCGGCGTCTACGTGCCGGACGACGAGAGATTCCCAAAGGCGTTCAGGGGTATGGGGATTCGCATCGAGGACAGTATCTGCGTGGGGTCTGATAACCCGTTCATGCTTACAACAGACGCTGTCAAGGAGGTTGATGATATCGAGGCTTTACGAGGCTGAGCCTGGAAAGGGGAACTCATTTGCCTTGAAAGTGTTGTAAGATGAATTTGCTGTAACATATAATGACCATGTGACCGCTGCCGAGCCGCCCGACGAGCATACGGCAGGCATATCAGCGGATCGCATGATGTATGTAAGGATCAGCGACACTGTTTGGGAGCAGTATGCTAGTATGAATTTCTTACTACCATGCCAATCGAGTCCGGAACTCAATATGAGGCAGTATCCTCTCATGCAAGCCCCTTACGCAACTTGTCTGCAAAAAGATCGCATGTGGATGGATTGTAATGCAATGCAACCCTAGACCAGATTTTATTGCTGTGATACGCAAGACTCAGTGCGGTCTTATAGCTACATTCTGCGGCGATCGGCTCCAGATCTCCCGCGAGGCTTTGACTGGAAAGATTGGGTACCTAGGGTAGGGCAGACGAGGGGAAAGGGGAAAGGGGAAAGGGGAAAGGGGAAGAAAAGGAGACTGACTTATGTAGTTACTACCCATGTCCTGTCTGTCCCCCGACTTGCATGCACCACACCACACCACCTTCAAGCCCGAACTGATTGATCAACGAGCGTGGAACATCCATCCGTTCATCCATCCATCATAGCTCTGCCATTGCGTCTCGTGCCTCGTAGATGAAAGATACCGCAAGCTTTTACGAGTGAGCAGTCGGAACAGTATTGATTAGCGCCTACTAGTAGGTACGGTATCAACCTTAGCCGTGTGGATCCCAGTCACTGGATCCAGCCACCAGTACCTTATTGGATCTCCTGTTATCCAGGGCGTTCTACGATAAGGTTACCTGGGATGGCTGCCCCAGGTGACAGGTACCAACCCACTGTAATTTAGGTCCTTAGATACTTCTCGGATGGGATCCCTTCCCATCCGAACGGAACCAAGCACCAACCAGAATACAGATCATCCCAACCAAGACTTGTGATAGATCTCCGTTCTGGTTCCGCTACCACAAAGGCACAGCCGCTCCACTCTCGTTGTTCGCCTTCACTTATTACACTCCAAGTTCAACCCAGATGCAAATCCAGAGCCCTGGAGCAACTTGACTTCAGCTCAGGTTCTATGACCGCATCTAAGGGGCTGAAAGTTGCGGATAATGCAAGTACCTAGTGAGCATAGACTGCAAGCTGTCTCACCAACGGAGTTGGTGTTCGACTGCATGTCACAATTTGGGGTCAATTCTTCACCTTCACTCGAAACGCAGGGTGCTTTCATTCCTGTCTTTCAGATTATTTGCTCCTATTCATATAGGAAATATGAACAACTCTCATACTGTGCAGTGCAAACAGTCGAGGATAGTGGTGGTATCTTACACAAACAGTCGTAAATCAACTCCGCAGAGCAGCCCGCTCAAGATGCCCCACCGCCATAGTTTTGGTGTTCAAAAGCAAGCCGTCCGTCAATCAAGAGCCACCAACCGCAAGTGCCACACATCTCGTGAGATGGATGGTTGAGGGTGGTTTTGACATGCTCGTTCCGGAACGCCTGTCGTGCGCCGTGATGCCGGGCCAAAAACCATAGTGCTCATGATTCATCTCGATTGAGTCCCAGAAAGACCATAGTTGCTCGCTCACTCCCGTCAAATGGTATGGTTATGCATGCCCCTGCGATCCTCGACGAACCCCGCAAACTCCAGTATAGTGGTGGTGTTGAATGATGCCAGATCCGTTGTGATAAAGAAAATGCGTCATACTGAAGGGTGTACCTGCGTTGAGTGTCGCGAGGTTTGTTAAGGGTTGCGTGGATGTGTTGGGTCTGGTAAGGTTTCAATGTGAGCGAGGCGGAGTAAAGCCACTTTCGGTTTTCCGGAGATCGGGTAGTGCGACAATCAAGGGTAGATGCGTGAGTAATGTGCCCAGTAGAGGTAATGTATTATGTATGAGCGGTAGTTGAGTTGGGTGTTGTCGGTTGTTACTTGAGCTCTGTTTGCCATCCCTGGCCTAAGAGAAGCGTGGGTTGAAGACGGCTTGCCCATAGCCCTGGGGCTGCCAACCCGCGCCAGGTACTGCACCGACTAATTGCTCAAATGCCTGTAGCCTCCGGGCCAATTCGTCGTTCTTCTGGGCAATTGATCGATTTCTCCGCTCAAGTTGGTGGATGTACTCGGTTGCTTTCGTCAGCACCGTACCCTGTCGCATAGGTTAGCATTGCTGGTCGAGGGGGGACGGACGATATGGTCGAAGACATGACTCACTTTGCTTACTTTTGGTGCAGTCCTTGAAGAGTTGACGGGCGACTTGTCTCCGTCGTCTTTGGGTAGGGACCGCAAAGAGGGGATTGCGTCACGTAGCTCAGCAATCTTGTCCTTGAGATTGGTACGGTACTTCCTCTCGATGTCATTATGTGCCGCCCTGTCGTTGTTTTTCGGCTTCTCCTTCATTTTGTTCACTGCGTCAGCCGAGTTGGTTCGCGAAGGCGGTGCTGGTCTCGATGCAATGCTCTTGGTCCGTGGCTCAGGGGTATTGCAGGTGGTATCGCTCATCGTTGTCGGGCTCTGTTTGATCTCGAAGTGAAAGTCCATCCCGGTGGCTGGCCGCGAGCCTGCTTGAGTTCCTGATTGCCCCGTGCCCAGGGCAATTGCCAAAAGCCTTTGGCGCTCTGGGTCGCTGAACGGCGCGACGTTCATGTAGTCCATGTGGTATCCCGGTTGCGGTGGTTCCCAACTGAGTGGTGTTGAGTAGAGCCTCTCTCGTGGAGGCACTTCCGAAGGCACGGGTGCCGACTCGTTCTTGGTTAGTTGTTCGGCAAGAGCCATGGAGAAAAGGTCATCCTCATCCGACAGCGCGTGATCTAGAGCGCTATCGTCGATTAGATCGCTTGCCGTGAGCGGAAGAGCCACTTTGCTGATGCTGCCGGGTCGACCGACTGTTCTTGTCCTTGACAGTGGTAGAGCTGGCTCCGGCGAGCTGACCTGTGAATCAGCCCCAAACTCAGCGCCATTCAATAGGAAAACAGTGGGCGCAGAGTACGGGGAACTTACGTGCGAGCTCTCCCGAGTGTCGTCTTCGAACAGTGGGTCTAGACTCTCGTTGTCGCTGTCGAAGCGAAGCCAGTAGTCGGAGCAGTCCAAGGTAGACGGGTCCTGGCTGAACTTGGACTTCTTGTTGTCGGAGCACCTTCTCTTTCGTGGGGCGGACCTCCCAGCGATCTTGTGCTTGTGTGAGTTGCAGGCTGAATGGCTGTGCTGGTCAAGCGATGAGGTCGAAGCCGGGGAGTCAGCAGCAGTGCTTGGTGTCTGGAGCGAAACAGATGCAGCAGCAGAGTTTACAAAGCTGGAGTCGGCGGAGCGGTCCAGGTCGTCCCAGAAGTTGATTGATGAGAGTTGCTCGATGTAGTCTGAGGAATTATGGAAGAGTGTCTCAATGGCCTATGGATCGTGTCAGTGACGAACAGACGTCACGCCTGGCTAAACAGCAATGGCAGGTCGAGTATTTGTAGTCGTGTTGGTCGAGTCTTACCTTGGCGTCGGTAGCTGGGTAGACGTCGATGTCCTGCATAACACCAGCATCCATGACGAAGTCCCTGACGACCTCCGATTGTGGCCAAAGGGTCTATGTCGATAGTTTTCTCAGGCTGGCCCTATTCAGTCGATAGGCCAGGCTGTGTTGCGATGAAACCGGATACCGAGGTGCACCGAGCAGATCAAGAATAGTTGAAGTGAAAGAGAGCTCGTCTGGTAACGTCTCACTCACTCTTGGGCTTGGCAAATGGGGTAGTATCCTGTAGCTACCTGGGCGAGTGCGAGCCGCGTTGGATGAGATCCAGGCTGGTCCTGCTGAGGCCAACTAGATCGGCACGTGATGTGTCGCGATATGAGATCAGGAGATGTGATGCCCCTTCCGGCGATTGGATGGGATCGATGTGATTAAAAAAGATTGTCTACTCGGCTTGGACGAAGTCGGCAGGTGGAGGAACAGAAGGATGGTTGGATGGGTAGATGATGGCGATGATTGATAGCTAGATCAAACGATGGAAAAGTTGACTGATGGTCGAACGAGTAGGGACTTGAATGTTGAAAAGACAGGGCAAGGGATGGGGCGTTTAAAAGATGTCTTCAGCCAAGTTGGGATTCCTGAAGGCGGACGGTCAAGACCATTGCACAATGGCCGAGACCGCCCGATGCTGCATGGTTGCTGGCATGGTTGCTTGGTCGCGCGCAGCAAGAGTGGCCTGACACTCTGACACCGCAGCAAGGGAAACGGGGGTACCAAGGAAGCGAATGTGGGCAGAAAGATTCCGATATTCGTTTACGGAGCCCATCCTACGCTACATTAAACGCATTCCAGACACCTTGTCCAGAACCTTGAAGCGCGGGGAAAAGAAGAACCTGTATGGCGGACACGAGACGAACATGATGAATGACCGGTGGTTCTTTTTCAACATGACAGCCCTGGAGATAAACAGGGGATACAAAATGACACATGTGCTAGCTCAATCCAGGTAGGGCTGGTATACAAATCTAGATAGTACCATAGGTACATGAGTAGGTAATACGGGCGAGGGAAAAGCACATGATTCAACAAACTGAGAGGTGGATGATTCATCAAGCTCTGATGAGAGTCGTTGCTGCCACTTGGCTCAGTGCTGAGAATGCCGAGGTGTCATCGAGATGATCACCGACCAGCGGTCAGGTATGGCGACCGGAGAATCTCGAATTGTGGTCTGACTTTTCTCACGGGACTGGAGTGAAATGGAGGTGTGGGAGCAGCAGGCACCTGCAGCGAGCCCGAGGCCCCAAGCAAGCACGGCCGGACGGGGACACGCGAGCGACGGAAGCACAGGGAGGGCAATTGGCCTTGGGGTGCCTGGAATGGAAAGTCATGTCGGAATCAGGCGTGATGTGGGGTTAAATATCCAGAGATCAGGCCATATGCAAGGCTACCACCAGAAATCGTATGAGGGACGCTTAGCGGCAGGGGAGCCCGCGCGCATCCATCCAACCCAACAATCCACTGGTTCTCGATCGTCTACCAGGCCTTCAGGCCAGGGGTGATTCTCCAATGGCCCAGAATCCTGACAGCCTCGTCGGCACGACCCCACCACAGACCGTTGCATGTGAACCCGCCCATGATCCATCCGCCGTTGATGTGGCGTCCCCTCAAAATACACGTGGCACTTGCACTGCACAACATCTGGACCCCCCTTTCTGTGAGCCACAGCGCAGCCACACCCGAAATTAGAGAAATACCTCCCGTATGCCGGTGGGGTGCATCTAAGCTTGACTGTCGGCTTCTTCCACTGTGGCACGGTGCACCTAACAAGATATCCCTTCGTCAACAGCCTTTTCTATCCACGAGACAACTTCTATCCACGAGACAACGTGAATAGCCATGAAACAAGGCACAGATTCTGCGTGGCGTCCTGGACCGAGTGCGGTCAATCAATCCCCCGAGTCATCAATTGCCTTTTCCACTTCAGTGTCTCGGTAGGTTCCCGACCATCCCGGTGTCACTGCGCGGGGCCCCGATCCGTTCACTCCCGTTTTGTGTTCCCCCTTTCCCAACCTTCAGCCTCTTGGCGACCTTCCCCATCGTACGATTTTGCCAACTCGATCCCATATCTGTTTACTGTCTCATTACTGCCCTGGATGGATGCATATCTCACATCGCAAATTCGCGAGCCTACAATCGACAATGAATGCCATCCTGCCTGCACATCGCACTCACCGCTTACCCTGGAGACGCGTTACTATCTCTCATGCCACATGCGACGAGAAAACTGCACCGGCCTCCGTCTTCGATATTTAGGTGTCAGCAATAGCTAACCTTAACCAAAATAGCCCGTTAGCAGTCAGTCTGCCATGTCAGCTTGTCAGCTTCGACAGGCCAGGCCCTAATACCGCAGCGTCATCCGGCATCCCGTTCCCTCCCGTCATCTTCGTCAACTGAGCTAATTATGGGGCAACATTGTCCCTGTCCCAGCCTTGGCACTTACCCAGGTAACATGACAGGAATATCACGACCCATCAGATCCTACTCTCCGTAACTACCACTAGGGGTACACCTAGCTTCTCTGCGTATTCGGCTTGGGGCACTGGACCCTTGGGAAGCCCACGAGCTCGGGAGGCTCCACGAAAGCTTGACATCAGCCTACCTCGGCAGCTTCCGCCGCCCAATGGGAATTCATCTATTCTTCTCATCAAAGCCAAATACACATGCTCTGATAGGACCGAACTTCTCGCCGCTGCCGCCCTTGCGACACATCCGATCTGCCCCAGGTTGCCGGCGCCTCGGGTCTCAGTTCAGGCCCCGACAATAGGCGTTGTATCGTTTTCGTTGACTAGGACTCTACCTCCTTGGACTCAAGGCACCTGATCATCGAATGACTTTCGCCTGGGGATCTGGGATTGTGCACATAACGAGTCAGTAAGCTGTTACAACTCTGGCGATGTCCAGACATATGCGACGATCTCCTGTGGTCTAGACCCCTTCACCACTTGGCCCCAACGAGTATACCGCTCGCACGAGAGGATGTCATGTCTAGCGAGGACCCTGCAGGTTACATACTCCTTCTCTCGCGTTGCATCAGAATCCTGGGCCGCTCGACCAAGATACAGCATGATATCCTCCAGTGGAAGTTGCAGCGGGGGTTGCGTACCGAGGTTCTGCACCTCTCTCGACCATACCTCGTGGAGGCTAGGGACTACCCGCCGCCAGAGCATGCACGATCTGCATCCACGGGCATGCCGGCAATGGCCGGAGCCGGGACAAATATGTCCCAAATGTATCCATGCATGTGACTACTGACTATGGACCGCGGCAGGCTATTCAAGTATTCTAGACTTGTGATACACAGGCAGACAGGGGAGATATGATCTTTCAGACTCCAGAGACATGGCTCTTGATGTTACCTCTCTCTGACAATTAGAGAACTTTTGCGAGTGGACCAAACTTATAGAGCAGTTGCTCAGCAACGGATCGGGCTCCTGCGCCTTCGAGGCTATATATCAACCCAACTCAAGCGACAAACTTTTCTAAGGACCCTTGGGTACATCTTGTTCATGTCCGCCTCAACATATGGTATGGTCCTGTCTGGCTCCAATGCCCCTGCATGTACGTGCAGGAACTTCCATCGCCTATGGCTTGTGCCGACGGTTTCGATACAACTTATCGCCTCACAAAATTTCTCAGTTTTACGTCAACACCGCTGCGCAGTGTCACATTCTCTCATGCCTCGGACGAACGGAACGCCAAGGGTGACGTCCTGTTGTTTCTGGATCTTCTTGCTCACCTAGCAAGACTCGGTTTCCTGACATGCATCGAACCGGTGTGGAAAAGGTGTAGCCAAACACACCGAGCCTGGCTATTCTGGGACAGTATGACGCGGGCAAGTCCAATGGGCTCAACTCATCAACACACTATTGAACTTTGGCGAACGTGTCCAGATCCATGAACCCGTTTCGAACGACTTTGTGGCCTGATTTTCAAGCACCTTTTATGAGAGATGGCCACTACAGCAAGCGATGACTTTACGAGAATCACGTATGTTATATGCGCGATATAGCAGTTTGGACTGCTGCCTGAATTCCATCACGGCACTGTCCCTCTCTGAATCAATCTGAACTTAATCAGCAGTCTATTGGAGCATGTTCGCTCATCATGTCATTCTGGAAGCAGCTCAGACCGGTCTATAATAACTTTTTGCAACAGGATCGACTTCTTGCCACGGACGAGGAAGGAAGGTAATAAAGCCGCATGGCCTACGACGCCCAGAATAGCGCAACAACCAGATTCTTCATTCCTACCCGAAATCCCATGCCACCATGGGGAGATCCCTCGTTAGCTGCCACCATCCCCCAGCCCATCCACCACCTCATCCCAAACCGCCCCGATATCATTCTCGTAGATCCACGCCATCCCACCGCCCCCATCCGTGATGATCTTCCGCCTCACCTTCTCATCAAAGGACGAAACCCCACTCCCGGCCTTCCGCGACGGCGCCGCCAGGTGCGCGTACATTTGCGCATAGTATGGCCGCCGGACCTCGTCGAACAGCGGCAGCGCCTTGCGGGTGTCGTTGCCGAACTGCGCCAGAGCCTGCGCCAGCACCCACCCGTCCTCCATCGCGAACCCGGCCCCGGACCCGAAGGCGCCCGACAGCGCATGCGAGGCGTCGCCCACGAGCGCGATCTTGTGGTCCCAGGCCATTAGGTGCGATAGCTCGGGGCCGGCGAAGGCGGCGAATTCGCGCCAGGTGTTGGGACGCGCGCGGGACAGGGCGGTGCGGATCTGGGGGAGGTATTCCTGGGGTGGTTGGTGGTGTTGGCTTGTTGGTTTGTGTGTGGGATGGGAGTACGAGAGGAATGGGGAGAGAGAAATCTTACCGTGAAGTGCGATTCCACGTGTGCGTTGTCGACCGGGACGCCCCAGCTGACTTTGCTGGCGCTGTGCACGGCGGGATCGTGCCATGCTCTCGCCTATAAACGTCAAACCAGTCCTTCCTGTGTTTGGACAGTCGCCACGGGTTGGCGAGGGCTTCGCTGTGGTGAGACATCACTCACTGCGATTTCCCACAAGCCTTCTCCCACATGCGAGAAGTACACGTGCGTGGTGGGAGTATGCCACCAACCGGTGGTCCCGAACTCGGGATGCAGGTCCTTGACGTCGTCCCAGGGCAGGAGTGTCCGCCAGATCGTCGTTCCGGTGAACTTGATCTCGTAATCTGTCCATGCTGTGTCGCGCACTACCTACACATGATCAATCCTCGTTTCCGGCTTTGGTGGTTCATACTAGCATTTACTCACAGATCGAATCCCGTCAGCCCCAACAACAAGGTCAGCTATCGCCATCGTTCCGTCCTCGAAATGCAGCTCCACTCCAGCCTCCCCCAAATCCACCATGCGAGCCAACTTCTTACACAGCTCTATCGTGCGCGGCTTGATGTGTGCGAGGAGAGCCGCCTGCAATTTCGTCCGCTGAGTCCGGATGGGCGGGTGCTTGACGCCTTCCCGGGCTTTCTCCCGGCGATGGAGCTCTTCGCCCGAACGACCATTCCTTGACCGATGCTTCATCAATATCCCGGAGCGTCGTACGGTTTGTATCTATAGTGTAGGAGGACGCTCACATGTTCAGCATAGTCCATGTGGGATGTCCGCTGGTTAGCGAGTCGGCCACACCAAGTAGCTCCAAGACATTCCAAGTGTTTGCCCCAATACTGATTCCAGCACCGACCTCGCGGAGGACGCGGGCTTGCTCGTATAGCCTGACTTCGACGTTGGGAGTTTTGCTCAGGGCTATGGCTGTTGCGAGACCCCCTGGTCCCCCGCCTATGATGGCCACTCTCAACGGCGGGGTGGGCATGTCTATAGCCATGTTTGAATCTTGCTAAAGGAACTGCACAAAATGGAAGTCTTACTCCGAATAAAGAAGCTTGATTAGTTGATCTAGTGGCCCCGAATGCAGTGACCGACGAGAAGTACCAGAAGTTGTCATAACGTCAACTATCACGTGAATGGCGTGCGAGCATGCAACGTGCGGTTCATGATTCCACGCCTCTGATACGCCCAGTTGTACCCTCTCGTATTTTTTCTACCTACGGCTATCCGTTTCGTGGAAACAGTGTCATGAACCAGATAGTACTCGTAGCCATTGACTCTTGCTGTGGCTCCTGGCATGTCTGCTGACCCGGTTTCGGCCCGTCATCATGGCACAGCGGAGCCAGTTGAGGCCTGAACTTGAAGGTCTCACGTATGGAAAGCACTAGCTCTAAGGGTGACTACCGAAGGTCCCAGCTGCGAGCTAGGCCGAGTTAGAATAGTCGGAGTGGCGTGGGCGGTTTAGGGACGAGCAGGTCATCACCCGATGACGGACAAGCTGCGCTTGCACTTGTTGACCATCTCTTTCCGGCAAAGATACATCGCGCCGTTAAGTTACTCGATGCATGGAATAGCTACCCGGTCCACGTCATCAAGATCATTACGAGGCATGGCCGTACGTAGGAATACACGAATCTCCTTCATGCCTGTTTAGCCAGCAGCATTTGTCTTGCAGGCCACGCTCATCGGGCATGTCCGAGTGATCACGTCAGGTTGATCCTTATTTTCCAATTGCAGAGTCTCATCCAAGCAGCAATAAGTTACTTGCTGGAAGCAAAATCCGGAGCGCGGTGACAGCAACATGGACGAGGCAGCATTGTTGTCTTGATGATGGTCTGTCTACTGTTCGTTTGGTGGCAAACCCCCCTTATATGGGGGGTCGGGGCCCCGACATCCGTGCTGCCGCACACATCCCTTCGAGTGCCGTTTCGGCACCAGCAAAACTGCAGGGTTTATGCACCCAATCAACGCTCTGGAACAGGGGTATAATTGGGTATAATTAGGTACGGATTTTCTCTGGTGCCGAAATTGCACTCAAAGGGATACTGCTTACATACTGCCGTTCTTAATCAGAGTATCGCTGTCCCACCTTAAATTGCCATATACGCACTACGAAAATTTGATTTTTACGGTATAATGAGATTTTTCTAATGATTTTTGTAAAGAAATAAATAATAATAAAATGTTTTTTAATTATTGTTTATATATATTATTAAAGCTTCAGTATAATTATGTATACTATGAATTTTTTTAATGTCTTAAAAACTCTTATTTATCGTTTTATTAAATATAAAATATCTCAAACTCTATATGAACATATTAATTAATTTTAAATATATTCATAATTTATAAAATTGCTATTAATAACGAATAAAAGGTACAAGATAACAGATAGTAAAAAATGGTTATAAAAATAAATACCGTGTTGTATTAAGTAGTTATAAACTAAAAGCCGTTATAAAATATATTAAAACCACGTTGAAAGAATTTTAAACTTAAATCAAATCAAAAATATAACTTTTTAAGTTATAATAAAGGACTTCTTAACTTTAACTGTTTAAATATAATGAAAACTCAATTTAATACGTATAAAACGGCTATTTTTCCCTTTTTGATTATTCAATATATTATTATAACTATATCTTTTATTATTATTTTATAAATCGATTAAGTGATCATCAAAATCTTAAAGTAAACCTATTAAGGTTTTTTTTTAGCTATATGCTATTAATATATCTTGATATTTTATATATTAACCGCGACTTTGTATTGGTAACTTTTATTGAAAAAGGGCGGAAGGGGGGAGGGGAGATAAGAAAAAAATCGCGCTAAATATTTTGAAAGGATAGGTTATATTTATTGTATAAAGATTTAAAAGTAACAATATCAATCATACGATATAAAGATATAAAAATATCTAAATTAATAAGTTATATGAAGATATAAAAAAAAGAAATTTTTAAGTTATATAACTTAGAATAGTTATAAGTTATAGAAAGTTGTAACGTTAATTAAAGCCGGTTTATAAATTGAATTATAAAAGTAAAAATATAAACAACGGCTGATAGTTTGAATTTATAGCAATAATATAAAGTTAAAGTCAAAAAAGGGTTATCGATACACAATAATTTATTGAATAAATCGCCTAGCGATTATTATCGGTATCGGCGTCGGCGTTCCGATTAATAAGGAAAATATTTAGCGTTAAATAAATTTAAATTTAAATCAATTGACAACCGTTATGACCCTCGTGATATAGGTATTAAAAATATAAGAAATATATATAATAAGGCAAATTTGAGCTATATTTAAAGCATATATAATTATTTAAATAATAATAATATATTTTTATAATATATAGTATTAACGTAGCTGACAAGCGAGTTGGCATTACAAGCGAGTTGGCACTCGTCATGAACTTTCCAACCAATACGATTCAAACCATCATATCTCCACCAACAACAATGGCACCGCGTTATAACGAATCAGACTTGCAGCTAGCTGTTCAAGCTAAACGACGTGACCCTCATATTCCTATATTTCAGCTTGCGAAACTCTTTAACGTCCCTTGTTCCACTTTGAGCAATAGAGTCAAAGGAATGCCATCACGACGCGACAGCATGCCCAATACTTTGAAACTTATGGTTTCCGAAAAGAATGCCATTTGTTCCTTTATTCTCGACCTGGATGCGCGAGCATTTCCGCCCCGGTACAGTTATGTTGAAGATATGGCGAATCAATTGTTGGTGGCGCGTGGGGCTGGACGCGTTGGAAAGAACTGGACGCGGAACTTCATCAAACGTACACCAGGCCTCCGGACGCGTTTTTATCGGAAGATAGACTACCAGAAGGTCTTGAACGAGGATCCAGACGCGTATCGCGCGTGGTTTCGCCAAGTTGCAGCGGCAGTCGCGAAACATGGTATCCAAGACGCGGATATTTACAACTTCGACGAGACTGGGTTTATGATGGGCATTATTGGGTCCGGCATGGTCGTTACAAGCGCCGAAAGACGTGGCAGGCCTAGACAAGCTCAGCAAGGCAACAGGGAATGGTCTACAGCAATCTCTGCTGTTAATGCTGATGGTTGGGTGGTCCCGCCGTTCATCATTCTATAGGGCAAAACCCACCTCGCGTCATGGTATCGCGACACGATATTACCACGCGATTGGAAGGTGGCCGTGTCCGACAACGGGTGGACCACAAATGAGATTGGTTTGGAATGGATTCAGCATTTCGACAAGTATACCAGACCGCGTATGACTGCCGGTAAACGCCTCCTCATCCTAGATGGTCACAAAAACGACCATTTCTAGGTCTTTAAGGATTATTGTCAGAATAATGGCATTATCACCCTTTGTATGCCTGCCCACTCGTCACACAGGCTCCAGCCTCTAGATGTCGGCTGTTTTAGCCCGCTCAAACGAGCTTACGGTCGCATGATTGAGGATCTCATCCGGCGTCATATAACCCATGTTTCGAAGGAGGACTTCCTTGCAGCGTTTTGTGAAGCACACAATGCTGCTATGACGCTAAGAAACATTCGAGCAGGTTTCAGTGCCACTGGGCTTGTTCCTTTTGACCCAGAAAGTGTCATTTCAAAGCTAGATGCTGTCGCTGTCATACGAACACCGTCGCCAGACCCCAATCTGCCACCCACTACTTGGATTTCGAAGACGCCTACCACCATTAATGAAGCGGTAAACCAATCGGTTTATATCCAAAACTGAGTCAGAAACCACCAGGGAAGCTCACCTACATCAATAGTTGATGCGTTGAGCTCGTTTTCGAAGGCTACATACGGTCTTATGCATAAGGTCACTTTGGTTGATTCCTGGGTCCGCGAATTAGAAGAGGCCAATCACCTACTAAGTAAACGCCGGAGAACAAAAAACAAACGTCTAGTGAAAGGAGGAGTACTTTCTGTTGAAAATGCAATAGATCTTCAGGCTGCAAAGGATGGTGCTGAACTGGCAAAACAGGAAATGGGTGAAGGTAGTTGTCGTCCGAGGCGGGCGGCAGCGCGTGGGCGACGGTGTGGCGTTTGCGGCAATACTGGCCATAATGCGCGAACTTGTACAATAGAGATAGAAACCTCTGAGGAAGAGGAATCCGATTGATTGAATTGAACTGAATGCGTTGTGGTTAAGTTATTTGACATGGCAGTTGGAGAGTTCATGACGAGTGCCAACTCGCTTGTAATGTCAACTCGCTTGTCAGCTACGTTATAGGCTGTAATTTGGGTAAAATTTAATAGTAATTTAACTTTATATTTTTAAATATAACTTGAAGCTTTATATTAGTAAATATTTTAATGAACTCAATAATACTTGAATAAAAAAATGGTAAATATATAATTTATGAGCTTTTCCACAATTAATTAAATAACGAATTTATGTATAATAATATATTTCTCTTTAACTATTTATTTTAAATACAACTTATTTTCAAATTTTACTCTTAATGATTAGTTCAAACATTTGATTATAATGTTTTTGTTGGATCCATGTGATTCTACAGTCAAACCATCTATACAGAACCCACATGTATGATTAGATAAGAGGTTAAATACCAGATTCTGAGGTCACTTAGCCAGACCTGAAGGTCTTGCTAGACTTCACAATCCAACCATCAGCAACATCATGACCTTGACCACATACTCGAGTATTATGATTGATCGTTCAAGCCTGTTCCCACGGTTTTGTTAAAAAACAGAAATAAACCTTATATTAAAACTTTAATTTAATTTTCAAGCTATAATAAATGGAACTGTTAATGAATATATAAGATAATGAATGTTTCTTTATTTATTAATTATAAAATAAATAAACAAGTTTTTAATATAAAAATTGTTGAAAATAAAGAATACTTATTAAGATAACTTTTTTATCCGTCTTCGAAGTCGTTTTTTTTAATTTATTAGGAAGGCTTTTAAGCTTGCCGTTTTTCGCGCAGTATTTTAACGGTAATATTTTTGATAATTAACTCGCTCATAAT